TATACTATATACTATATACTATAGTTAAAAAAGCTAAATGTGACAATAGGTTTGTTGTCAAAGCTAATCGTTTTTTTTTAAATTTGAGATTCTTGTTTTACGACTAATAGCAACTAACTTGGCCAAAGGATAACAATTATAATAAATTTGACCTTTCCAAGAAGTTGTAAGCATGGCAAACCCAGATTACTGGAACATTTCGTTGGTTACTTGTATATGTTTCTAAATGGAAAGATAAATGCGATGTCCTATGCATTATAACAAAATATCAATATTATAAAATTGCAAAACTGTATTTTCATATCTCTAACAATGTCTGCATATGCAATCATAATTTTTTTCATTTTTTTTGTCACAATCACACTTGAATCTATAGTCCGCGGTACATTTAACCAATTATTATGATTTGGACTTTATTGTATTTATTTGCCATATTGATTATTAATCTATTCGATATAACATTTAGAAAATCAGTTCGCTTTTGACACTAGAAACTTGCTTCTCAATGGCAGCGTTCCTTTTGTATCATTTTATTTTTTGAAGATCCAATGGCTTGAAACGCTTCAATCTTATTGTTGTGAAGCTGTTATCCAAAAGGTTGACCGCCAACACATTCACATGCGAATCAAGCCTGTCCGTGAATTTCTTGGAGAAATTTTTGGCAACTTATTCCACTATATTTATTCCAAAGTCTTGATGCAGTTTCCTATTAGTGATGTACACCTACAATTTTTCTAGATAAAATTTTATTTGTTTCATCTGTATTAAAGATAAAAAAATTATGATATTGAAATAAAATAAAGAGAAATGAAAAAAGTTTCAAACATACTACATGGGTATGGTAGTAAATGATAACTTTTGTTTTTTTTTTTCGAGGCGCCCCAACTTAAATTAGTTTATCTCAGAACGAACTTTATGTTAATATATCAGAATATTCGCGGTGCTCTTCTAGTACAGCTACGGTGCACAATTTGGAAACCCTTGTATTAAGTGAGTATTTTAAAGTTAAAAATAATTTAAAATAAATCATCAGAGATGTGTACATATTCGACAGGCGGGCGAATAGTTACGTATTCATTTACTACGAGTTCCACGCAATGTTTAACTGTCTTCAAATTTGTATTTATATATTTCAATACATTATATAAATACAATATGTATACAGTGAAAACTTACTTAACGTGCACCTTGCATAGCGAGCATTCCTCTTAACGAGCAAAATGAATTGTAAGAAAAATGACTCGCTTAACGAGCGACATTTCGGATAACGATGAGAACAGAAGTCCCGGATTGCGCGCTCGCTACATCAGTTTTAAAACTTATGTATACATATGTGGATTTTTTAATATGTTTCACTATACAAGTATTTCACTATAAGAGTAAAAATCCGGAAATTTTGGAACGGATTAAACTTGTTAAGCGAGGTTCCACTGTATTTGTATCATGATTTAAATACATTATAACGTGTTTGGTTGCCTACATCGTACATCTTTGAACTTGAATATTTGTAATATATCGTAGAAATGATACATTACGATACGGTTTCAGTTAATCATGTCATTTGACTCTTGATGTTTACTTGAAACATTACACTATAATATAAATATGAGATGAGATCCATGAAATGTTAATTAAAATATTAATTACTTATGGGTGATTTATATTTATTTATAAAATCAGTTCTTTAAAAAAAATATATACACATAACATAATGAATAAACAATGATATAAAGCACTTAACATATGGTTTACAATGTATATGTACATAAATATAAGAAATAAATAGAATTCTATTTATAGTTCTTTTGGTTACATAAGTAAAGATAACTTAGGAACTATATCACAGTTGAAACGTTATTATCTTTATTGTCTCCTAAGTTAAGTACCAAGGAAGTTTCTCCGATCGGCGCTGCAGAGTCAACCAGATTCTCTGCACTTAGGGAACTTAATGTTTGGTCGTTTGTTAAAGGGCGTCGTACTGTGCTTCGGCGGAAGCTGCTGCGAAGAATACAAGCTACATCGGCGGCTGTAAGACCCGTACTGGAAGTGGCTATAGTGGCCAGTTCTCTTTGGAGCGTACTTGGGCACGCGTCAGGTACAGTAATTGCAACATCTCGTTGATTCTGATTCATTTCAACAAGTACATCATTGTAATCTGGCGGCGGCGGCTGTTGGCTTTCAACTTGTGAACTCGTTGTCGGCCTCGTCCTCGAACCACTACTCTCACCCAAAGCATTTGCAATCCTTCTCACACTGCGCCTTATACTTTGCCTCAAGAGCTTTGCAATCCTGGCCCCTGTTGCTGTTGTATAAGATGGTGGAGGTGTATACTTTGGGGGAGGATCTTCTGCTGGGATAGTTCCCAGATTGCTGTTGCCATTGTTGTTCAGAGATGCCGCCGCAGCTTCCTGTATAGCAATGTCATCCATGTGCTCTCCAAGAGGTGGTCGATACAACAACTGGATGCGCTGTGAAATTAACATCTATGAATCATGCCCTAACAAAACGGAATTCGTTAATACTAACATAATGGTCTTGCTCGTAATCCTCAATTAAGAAAGCAATATCAAAGTAAAAATTTCAAATTAAATTTTAGGATTGGAGCAACAATGAATCAATTACTTACTTCTAAGATATCGTTCGGACCGTTATTCAAATATCTGTAGCTCTGAATGACGGCTATAAAGGGAACTGCCAGAATAGGAAGTAGCTGCAGCAAAGAACCAATTTGACGAGCCCACAGGGGCCAATATTCCAAAACCAGACCGTGATGCCAAACGAAAAGTTCTCTGAAGTTACCGTTCTTGAAAAATGTTATGCACCAAACCTATAACATATTGTTCTAAGTTATACTACTGCTATTTGTTTATTAAAATTTAATAACATACCATTAGAATTACAGGAAGAATTACATTCCAAGTGAACGAGAGCAAAGCCGGAGCCCATCCCATTAGGCAGCTAGCGGTATTCGAGTTGAATATGGCAGTGACTATGGTGTCTCCGCTATACGGACGACCACGCACCATGAAAACAGCTAAAATTTGTAGTAAGATTATCAGAATGAGCCACCAAACACCACCAACGGTTAAATCCAGGAAATAAACAACGTATATTCCAAACTGAAATAAAAATATTATTAAAATAATGCAAACTATATGCTAATCTGACTTTATTACCTCTGTGGTCATAGGTAAGCCAAGCACAAACCCACAAGCGCAGCTGAAGAAAGTTATTGTGGTCTCCCACGACTTAAGTACTTTCGCCTTAATAGCCATAATTCCAGTAATAACGCAGTGCCAAATGGCCAGCTGTTGTGCAATTCCGAACAGAATCAGAATGAAGTAGAATAGAACAGTCCAAAATGGAGAAATCTTTTCGGCACCCAAAATCGCGAAAGTTGCTGGAATCAATTCTGTTGCAAAACGCAATACCTGAAATTGGACATAAAAAATTAGATAACAAAATAATTCAAAATATTTGTAAATATATAGTTATACAGATACTATTTATTTTTATGAACAGGTACCTAGAATATACCACTAATATGATAACATAAAAATAAATTAAATAGCAAAATATAACATTATATCCTCTTGTATGTAAATAAAAAAGTTAAGACAATATTAATTAACTACAATAGTTTAAATAATATATCTCAAACTCAAAGACATATATTTTCAATTATTTGTAAGAGTTGTCTAATATTGGACAACAAGCATTTGACTAGAAGGATTAACATTTATTCTATCCATTTCGATTTTCTTAAAAAATAAAAGTGATCCAAATTTGGCATTTTCTATATTTGAAAATTTAAATTGAAAGACAATAATGACCTGATATCCACTTTCTGCGGAAGGATCAACCCCGGGTCTCGTTACTCTGTCCCCAACGATAAACGAGTTATGCACCATGTATTTAACTGGAGTGGCGGCTAAGTTAGGCGGTAATGGATCCTTGGCATGTCTCAGGAATGTATACGTGTTTATCCCTTCTGAGGAATCGAATGCGGAATTAAAGTATAAATCCTTCTTCTGCAATCCAACTCAAACTTACCGAAAGAATCTGGATGATACGTGTATCCATTCGCTTTGAGTATTTGAACACATGTATTGGCTAGAAACGCGACTAACAATAAAATTGTTATAGTTATAACAGCTATAAGACTAGAATCCCGTTGTAACAGGTGTTTATTCTTGTTGTGCGACGCTATTTGCATGACGGCAGCACCCAGAAGACCCCAAGTCAAAAACACTTCCTGGCACGCAGCCATCCAACTCTGAAATCATAATATTACCATCGTTGAAACCATTACACCGACAAATATTGATACACGCACCTTCGAGTTTACGAAAAATTCGTTCCAGGAAGTTTCTGGAAAGATGATATTCATCAAGTCCGGCGGCATCATTCCAAGAAGCTTTGCAGCAAGGACAAACATTCCGAAGATCGGAAGCAGAGTAAAGACGTAAATCACTTTGCCATAAGATCGTAATCCCTTGCTGAGAGAAACGAAGACAATCATCCATACAACCGCAAGGTTGAACGCCGGTTGGAATTTTATCGTTCCAGTCGGATTGCCAGATGCCAAATAGTGTCTCTGAAGAACGATCCCCGATAAATAATCCGGAACGGTTTCCGATAATTTGTATGTACCGTTCAGTAATAAATGCGAATTCGCTGCAAGAAATCATAGAAATTATAAATTATGCATTAATGGTTGACAGTTGCATTTACCATTTCTGTAGAAATTTACGGGCTCTGCCCATCTGTATCGTTCGAATTTTGTGATGAATGAGTCTCTGAAGTAAACGAACATCCAGCTAACGCCGATGATGCTGTAGACACCGCTCAGGATGTTAAAAAATAGTAGGGAAACGCCAACCCCTTGGAACATCGGCGAAATCTTCCACATGTCTATGACACCAGATCCGAGCTGCTGGCCTAGGCATAATTGCAGTGTAAACAGTGGCAATCCGATGAATAGACTGACTATGAGGAACTGGAAAATGAAATTCGCCCCAAAGTGGATTGACAGCGTTGCGAAACGTGAAATATTGAAGATTCCCAAAGTGCAACCCACGTAGGCTAATGTAGAACTCAAACTATGGGGCCACTGTCCTAAAGGACTCTCAACCTCTGGCATTTCGTTGCTACTTGTACGCTGCACTCTCTCACATGATCTGAAAAAATATACAATTTCAAATTAAATATGTATTCTACTACCAGCATATTTCATTTTAGAAATTCACAAATAATAACTGTATGTCGTATTAAGGTGACATTTCTATTAATAATACGATTGTAATACGAAGTGTCTTATACAAAATGCTTTAAATATATTTTTACAATTTCTAAATCAAATAACAATAAATTAAAATTTACAAATATTAATTATATTACAGTTATTTATTATGATGACATAACTATAAACAATATGATTGCATAATTTACGAAATTAAATTTATTTTTGCTTAATTGTGCATTTTTTTTTCAATTTCTTTGGATTTTCCACACTTAATGGCCTATTGAAATGACAGATCTTAGAAGTACAATAGATGGAAACTCTCACTTAAATTGTTGTCACTTCAGTAACAATAGTCAAAATTTCATTTCGGAAATACCTGCAAAAGTTTCTCAGAGCCATTAAGGAATAATAAAGATGTCGTTTTGTAACGATTTGGTATTAATTTGCTGGTTTTTCGTTCCAATGTGGAACAATTTTTTGTTTACTCTTTGGTCACGTAATATGGTTATTATTTTTGTGTATAACTATTTTATATGAGTTTACACAAGGTTTTCGATATAACAAATAACGTTAAACTAGGAATGAACACACTTTACATATTTCTTATTTAGTTTTATTATAAAAATAAAAGAAGATAAATTATCAAAATTTTCCTATATAATTTTGATAATTAATTCGTTAACTCTGGAATTCAGAAATATGATTGTTTTGTAGAATATAAAATAAATTTACTTTTAATAAATATATAAAAACACTTATAAAATATATCAAATAAATCTTATTTAATAAAATTGTTTTAGTAAATAAATTAATATTATTACAAACATAAATTTGATTTGTCAAAACAAAAATATTTTTAAATACAGATATAATAGTAGATAGAAAATTATCTTGTGTTATATTATTAAATCAAGGTAAACTGAAAATTTGATATTGAAGCAATTTGACGAATGTTCTATTAATGTATTTAGCAATCTAAAGAAATAAAAAACGTTCAGTTTGAATTTAGTACAGTGAAAATATAATCGCATATTATAATTGAAACTATAATCGAAATATTGCCGAAAACGGACGTCAAATAAAAAATGACTGGGCATCTTAATTATCTTAGTTCTACTTGACCTTGTACTTTTTTATGATTGAATTGAATACAGTTACGTAAAAAAGCATATATAATTAATGTAAGAACGTAAAGGAAAAAGTACTCTGATGTGTGTAGAAGTATAACGGAATTTTTTAGCATTTTTTTTTTCACGAAACAATAATTGCGGAGTTTCCTGACACGTCTGAATATCCGATTGTTAAATCACCATCTTACAATAAATGAATTGGATAATTATATTAGTTACATTATGGATTAATATTAAATTATATTACTTAAAGTATTCATATTTATTTTTAAGATTATTTTCTTTTATGAACAAAAAACTCAAATTTTTCACAGAACGTAAAACGCATTTATTTAAGGATGCAATTTGCATATTGTAAAACCTTCGCTTAGTCATTGAACGTACTCAATTCATAAACGTTGTTCATTTTCTTGCGACTAATTAGGACGTTGTTTAAGTGATTATATTGTTAATTAAAACGCAGCTGAGTAAAAATAAAAACTACTTTCATCAACTTCTAAAACTTAATCGAGATTGAACTTTCCGTGAGCAATTTTCCGGATTGGCAGAGCACGAAGATTTTTTTTTTGAATTACCTGGAAACAATTACAGGAGAGAGAAAAAAGGTGGCATGCCGGGAATATTAATTTTGCACGTTGTTCGGGCAATATGAATACAAACATTGGCCAGTACTAATCAATACGTTTTTGTTGCTCTTATCACACGGAATTGCGTGTCGAAACACATAAAAGAATAAAAAAGTAAATACTTAATGTGGTTTTAAATACATGTATATTCCTACTCATATGTTCTGGGTTTCGTGTACACAAAATGCATGTTAAATCTGTGTATCGAGTGAGTTATATGTTGAATAAATTATTTAAAGCATTGAACTTGAGTTGAATTCGTAGTTAACTTACATATTAGTATTTGAAAGAATCCAATTTGTACGCCCTTCGGATCGTTTATAGAAATAAAATTGTGTTCACTATATGTTCTTAGTAGGAATAGTTTGCGCACTTGATGTTCACCGGTTCAGACGGTCTAGTATAGTGTCATCGCCAAGAACTTGAAGATCACCGGCTCCGGCTGGTTGCCCCAGAAGAGAAGGAAACTCAGCGTAACCGTTACCATTCAGATCGGTGACCTAACAACTACTAACAGCAACTCCTCATAACTACAATGTACCCTTAATATTACTATTTTATTGATCCCCAAAGGTTTTTTTAAACAAAAAATTATAATAATATATTTATTTGTCACAAATTCGACTAAAGAACTATCGACCTAAGTCTTTCTGCCCGATAATTATATTTTGAAAAAATAAAACTAAATTGTTGCTCTAAACATAAAGAAATATTTATAAATCAATAAATAAAATAATTATGTTATCATAAATATCATTCAATTTAATATGAAATATACTCATGTATAACCTCAACTGCTATCACCCATTATACTATAGTCAACTATATATATTGTTTAATTTTCATAATTTGTCTGGCGTTAATTTAAGTAATTTATTATATTTTCAAAAGGATTTTAACTTCGATAATGTTAATTGATCATAATTAAAAATAAATTCTAACAAAATACTATACAATATTACTTTTCGTTAAATGATCTGTTTTTGCTATTATATAGTCAAGTTCCTTTTTTGTGCTGTTTAATTTGTATCTAGTCCCTCGATTAATCCGGTTTCAAAAAGTCCGGGATATTGGCGAAACTGATTACTCAAACTATGCGAGGTATTGTTGTAAAATTTGTCACATTCTCATTGTTATTAAATTTCAAAATCAGCAAATAATTTAGCAACAATAAATAAAATAATAACATGTAAATATTACATATCACTATATTTTTATACATATCAATAGTTTATAGATTTCTATTTTCTTGTAAATTAATGCATTCATATTTTTTCTATCAAACCAACTGATAAATAATATATCAGAAATTAAATCTGACAAATTATCGTTGTACACATTTTGGAGTTCACAATATAGTGCTTAATACTCGCATTGTACATTCATGTGTTTTTATTAATAATGTTTATAAAACTACCTTAAAAAACGACTTTGGACCAATGGTTGATAAACTCCATGAAAGCGTATGGGTCGTAGATTATAAAACACCTCGTAGTCATACATTTTTGTGGAGCTTAAATATTTACGATTTGTAAACCTGATAGATATTGCTTTTAAAAAAATGCAGCACCTTCACGAACTGGCTCATGTATGTAGACGGATATAGCTTATTTATTTCCCTTTTTATCAGTGTTTTCCTTTTTAATGCTAATGAGCTGCGCAGAGTGGGTGCATGCATATGTATAAAAATAAATAAGTTTAACAACATACACGCGAATCTTATGAATAAAAACTAAATTCTTACTTTAAAATTCATAATAGATGTGACTGTTATATTGCACTGTTGTTCTCATAAAATAATACTAACTACTAATTACATTTCACAATTTTGGATTATCAATTAATTGCAAAAAATAACATCAAATCATTAGATTTTGCTTTGTTGAAGGTTAACAATTTGGAACGATGACGCACAGGCTGCAAAACAATTCACATTGACGTAAAAGTGTTAATTTATTGTTTCAATGATATTTTTTAAGCATGCTAAACTTATTTCTAAGAAGATTTTCTCTTAATAATGACAGTTATTGTTTTACTTATTCAAGTCTTTATTTTCTTTAACTAAAGTATAGAATAAAAAGTATGAAATAATAATAGGTTTAGTTAACATTAGGCTAGGGTCGTAAAATGAAACCCTTGATATGATAGTTGTTCCTCCCATAACAACCAACGATGAATAAAAACTTTCAACTTCTCAAATTGAGACCTACAAGAGGATAAATATTCTTAAGTACAATAGTATTTATGTTATCTATTGGATACAAACTTTCTAAAAAAATCAAAAACGAAGTAAAATAACAATTTTTGTTACTCTTACATTTCTCATTTAAAATGTATATATTAAATTACTATTAAGATATGTTGTAGTTAACTTTGCAGTTAAACTTATGACTTAGTAACTAATTTAATTAGAAACATGTCAAAAAAAGGTAAATATCGAAGAAGGTAAACAGAAAGCATTCTCTCAAAAAAGTAAATAAACTATAAGTAAAAAAACGTTTCGTGATCTCCCTGAATTTCAATGAGAGTAGTACATATTTCAAAATTATACATATTTTCTTTGAATGATATTAAATAACAATTTAAATACTTATTTTATTATATATTGACGATTTGGCACGATTTTTACCTTGCAGTTTCCATAACTGCAATATCATTATATAACTTTACGCGATTTTCTCGTGCAATTGCGAGCATAGAATAAATTGGATAAGATGCAATCTGTCAATTTGACATAAAGTGATCTTTGAACTTTTAGCATTTACATAAAAAATACACTGCGCACCTTAGAATCGGTTACATAAGTCAAAGCTCGTGCGCTTGCAGTAATTTCTTTAGGATCAGTATGTGTAACGTTTACGGTTGAGCTACCAATTACTTCGTACACATGAGAGAGCATTAATTTATCGATTGAAGTACGAAACCGAAAACTCATACATTATAAATATTTTATAAATATTTATTTAACTTTTCCAATTTAATCAAGTAGAAAACTGTACGTGGTAAATGCACGTATTTAATAGTGCAACGCTGCATTGGATATTAGAAAGGGATTTGCGAAAACCGTTTTCCTTGTATGGTAAGTAAAGGACGATCGCATAAAATCAGATCGAAAATGTCTGATGCATATGTAATACGTACAACTTCCATCCAGGTTTTTTGTGTTTTTACCTCCAGCAAATGTTAATTCACTATCTCGGATACGCAAAGAAACGGAGTATGTACAAGGAGGAAATGCGTGTTGCAGATTTCAATTAACGTTAGGTTTCCTTTTGCAGCTATTCTTTTACGTTTTGTTTGATACTCTTTTTTCCTTGTATTTCTTCAGTCATTGAAGTTCAATTAACATTATCATCCTGTTGTTTTCCGCGTACCTATTTTCTTTTATGGTTATGGCGAAAATAGCTGAAACTAAGTGCCGTATATCCTTTGATAAATATGTAGTATTCAGTGTACAGTATAATATGTGCACTCGTGTACTAAGATTAAACAAATAAATGAAGAAACAGTAATTTCCTTAGGGTACATATAATGTACATAGATGACACGTATCGTATTACTCTTTAACGACTCTAAATTACATTGCATAATGCAGCCAACTTGTAATTAGCTTAATTGCAATTCGTTTCATTAACATTATTAATAGTGATTTATTTTATATGTATATTAGATTGTATATTACATTTGTTCAAAGATCGACAAGCAGACTATTCAACCACATGCAAATAGTCATAATTATAGTATAATGTTATTTGATATTCGATATATTGTATTTAGTTAATCAAATGGAAATTAAGTATAATTCTAACTAAATAGTTCTTTAATAATATCTATATATATATTTATATTGTTTTGTTTAGCAATTTAACATTATGTTAATTGTTATTTTATATTTTGATCAAGAAATGACTATGATAAGCGAGTTGACACTATTCTACCCAAATGACAAATAATGAAAATATTTGTAAACATTTTGTAACGTGGTAAAGTAGACAACGCTGCAACTACGTTCCACGGTGCAACTATGCTTCCAAAATTTTGGGGAGACCGAATCGAACCGCGAAGGAAGACGGGTCGAGGTCTCCAGTTGAGAAGATATATATTTGTGTGCTCCAAAAGGATGGTGTTGGTGCTCTAGAGGAGCCAAGGCCCACAATCGGAGAAGAAGTTTGATGATCATAAGGAAGCAGTTATCAGAGTTCTTCCTCTCAATAAAAGGAAGTAGAAGATTTGTTAATTTGTATTTCGTACACGAATCACCCGTCGTATTAGAATTTCGAAGAATATAAATATTGTATTTTGTATTCGGTCAAATCTAGAGTTTTTCTATAATCAACGCTCTTCTGGTTCTAATGAATTAACTATATTAGAAAATAAATATTATGTTAGAAAATAAAAATTAATAATCCATAATACAAGCATATATTTGAATCATGACTAAAAGCAATTTAGATGATTCATAAATATGACATTATTTGACATTTTAAATTATCATGTGTACTAATCATCATATTATGACATCATGTTTTAAAATTCTGTATGAGCATTTTTCATAAAGTATCTAAATATAAATATATAAATTACTAATGTTCTATCTGATTATGCTGATGCAAAATTAATTTAATCCATGTTTTCTAATTTTTTCATACTCTATTTGAGATTATTGGATCGTTTTTGTTTTAATAAATTGTTAAGTTGGTGACATTGAAAAACAAATGCATTTTTTACTGAATTGTCAATGCAATGGCGGCGCTTCCACCCCCGTTAAATGTGAATCCAGTAATTAAGGTATGATACAAATGATAAATTATGAACAATTCGTGTATTTTAGAGTTTCAGTTAGCCAGATGGACTCTGCTTTTATGGGGTATACATCGTGGTTCCAAGAGACAGAGGAAACTCGCAAAGAAGGAAGTGAAAATAAGAGAAGCGTATTTAAAGAAGAAGAAGATCCGAGATGAGCAAATGGCGATTCAAAAGAGCATTAGCTCAGCAAGGGATATTGCCTTGTTGGCGGCGCTGGCGGAACCACCGATTGATTACATGCGCTACTATTCACCACCAGGCAGTACCGCACCTAAGGCTGCACCTCCACCTGAACACCACCCGCAGCATGAAGTTATACATGAAGTTGTGCCAAAACCTGTTGAAGCACCACCAACCAAAGAAGATTCTCACGATGAACATGCTGCTCAACATTCTGATGAACATGTTGATGAAGAGGATGCCCATGATTTCGAAGTAATTGAAGAAAATATTCGAGAAGACGAACAGGAACATGAACATGCACCTGTTCATGAGCATGGAGACGAGCATAAAAAACCACCTTGCAAGCCCAAGAACAAGGAAGATTAATCCTTTTGTCTGTTTATTCTTTTGCCAATAATAACTTTCATCACCATCAAAATGCAAATGATTCACTTTGACTTGAACGCGTTACGCAAGAAGAAGTAAAGTATAAAATGTATAAACGCGTGCAGGGCAGACAAAATCCGAATTTGCTCCACTTGGTTGATTTCCGTAATCACCGGCCTGTGTTTCCGGCCCACTTAGCTGTGCCGTACTTTCCACGTGGCACATCTAATAACGCAAAGATTTCCCTTTTCTCCTTCTAACCATTTTTCTTTGGCCCATTGGGATTTTGTTTTTAGGTGATCATTTACTTGTTAATAGTGCTCTCGACCCAGATTCCATCTGTTTACGTAACGCTACCAGACGGTATGGGAACCAGGGATTCGTAAAAAGGAAAGTATAATGGTATTGTGTTCTGGATTATTTCTTTAGTTGATTAATGACGACTCATTGAGGAAATAATTATCGCACGGTGTTTTAATGGATTGCTATTTATGCGACCTCGTCGAATATCAATATTTGTGAGAAATGCCAACAACATGCAACGAGAAAAATGTAGTTGTTATGTCAAATGTTAGTTGCTTAGGTTAATTAACTTGTAGTTTGTATACACATATTTAATATTTAAAGTTTAAAAACCTAAACCACCAACGTAACTAAATAATATGTAATTTGTAATTTTTATCAACACAAATAGCTTAAAGAGAGTTATCACCAATCTTATAAGGCAAAATAGAAGCAATTTTATTGACATGTCAAAAAAGTTATGCAACATACATAGCTTATGTATTGGTTGGTCGACTACCTTTTGAAAATGTAGAACAAATAGAATGGTACTTCCATATAACTGATATTTGAGGAAAAATCTTAGCTCGTAAGTAGTAAGAAATACAGATACCTTAATAATCAGACTCAAATATTCATGACCTTACAAATTGCAACTATATCACATCGTAACAAATGCAATAAGTACCAACAATACTGATATCAACAGGTTAGATATTTAAAATCTTAATTAACTTTGTGTAACATAAAAATCTGTATTACGTCGTAATTATCTACTTGAACCAGACGTAGTGACATAAACTTTGATTGCTACATATATCAGTCCATCTGTTCCTTAAAGAAAATAATATTTACTTGCAATAAAAAAGTCAGTACGTATCTTTTGTCTTCACTTACAATACAAATGCATCTACCACTTCACTTCTACTATCAGTGACCTCTACAAGATAATTATTAACTACATGATCACGTGAGTAGTGCTGTTGACTCATCTTCTATAACTACTTAATTCAGAATTTAATAGCGGCTTCGCATTTTTGACTTAATATAATTGCACCTTTATTTCTATTATTGGACAAATAATTTATAAATATATTTAATAAGTACAAAAATTAACAAATTCACTTATTTGATGTAGTTGCACCCATTATATGAATAATTTGAAGAAAAAAAATAATAGTTTTTTTTTATTAACAAAATTATAAACAAAAAACTGTAATAATAATACTAAAGATGTGATAAAAACGTTAATCTGATGTAAATTTAAATATTAATTAACTTTCATTTCTCAGGAAAAAAGCGGTGAGGCCATCATCGTCTTAAATAAAACAAAAAAAAAGTTAGAGAACGGTACTTGATGGTATGAATACTTTCAACGAGTATATATTAAGAATATGGTAAAATGTATGAGCACAGAATTAATTATACATCATAACAAGCCTTGTAAATACTGATGTGATCTTTTTACTTGAATATATGAAAATTTCAAAATAAGAATAAATATTTATTGAAACAATTAATAAAAAATAAAAGATATTTATATAATTATAACCAAATAAATAAAGTAATTAACTGCCCTTGAAAAATATAATCCAAATATTTCTCATTTTCTTATACGTATTATACGAAAAGTTTACTTCTCATTATATCTACTATATATAATGTGAGTTTATATTCGATTACTGTTATAAACAATATGATTTTCTATTAACACTAAATAGAGCAAAATGCTATTGAACTAGGCCTTTCCATCAATACAATTATCCTATATAACTACACTTTAAGTAGAAAAACTATATGTATTTATCAAAACTTTCATTGTTTTAATGGCATTTCGGTGGAATAATTATATAAACATATAATAAATATATAATAATACCTACAAATAAAAAAATCCTTATATGAAAATTATGTATAATTTAATGAAGAAATACCACAATAATAAAATATTAATTGCTTGTACAAATAAAGCATTAAATTAATTTGGAATGAAATCACAGAATATAATTACGTTCTACTAATTGAATGAAGGTTCGTATCTAAAGTATTTATTAACTACATCATGCTTTAACCTTTTTTTCTTAGTGATAGATCGATAAAGAGTAAGCACGATTAAAGGAGAATGAACAAAAAAAATACTGCTGTGAATGTCTAGGGTCAACACAAATATTTGCGTGTTTAACAGTGGCACAAATTAAGGCCACCCTTATTTTTAGAATCTCTTGCATGACTAACACTTCTCTTCCAAGAAATTATTTATTCTTACAAAATATAATTATATCTTATAGATTTGACTTATTAAACTTATAACTTATCTAAATTGAAATTAAATAGGATAATAAAATATATTTTTATATTTTCTGCTGGTTTCATTTATCTTATGGATTGTTTGTAAAGGTACAAGAAAGAACCTTTAACGACATTCTCATTGTTAAGAGTACAATACAATCTTGTAAGGATCAAAATCTTACAAATGGAATACATTAGGGTCAAGAGATTAGTAAAGGGTGAACACGAAAGTACATTTCATATAAGAGGACAAATAACAATAAGAAAATATTTTGTTAGAACATACATGTTTCTTTTTATATAGTTTTTAATAAAAATAAGTAGGTCTAATTAATATAATATTGATAGATATTATAATAAATAATAAATATATTTTCAAAATTGTATTAAAAACGTAGACAAATATTTGACTAGTCTGAAGTATTTGTAACCTTTAAATAATGAATCATGAAATGCCAATTTACTTTAATATCACTTGAAAGTGGATTTTAACAAATTATTACATCATAATTAACAATTGCAATGCTAAAGAGTTTAATGAATTTAATTTCTCCTTGCAATAGCGCTTGTTTTAACTAACATCAGTTATTGTAATTAACAGGATTTCTTGAAGTGCTAAAACAATGATTTAATGTTAAAGCGACTAGCGCACCTTGTTCCGTGCAGACCATAAAAAATAAATGTGAAGGACTTTGATTTTGCACATAAACGATATAAATTTAGGTAGGTTCGCTTTTTTTTCTATTACTTTCGAACTTAATTTCAACAATTATATACTATTCAAATTGCAATTAAATTCACCCAAAATCTGTATCAAATTTAATTTAAATTAATCTGACATTGTTTTTTTTAGTGTTTTAAAATTTGCTACATTTTTTTCGTAAGTCCTTGGATTACCTATAACCATTCAGTGTAACATTTTAATTGGTCATACGGTCAAGGATTTGCTATAAGATTAGCACATATTTCGGTAAACAATAATATTGTTTTGCTATTTATAAAACTTGACTATTTACATCTACTTATAATATAAAAACCGCTTTATGTAGAAACACTCTTCCCTATCCAATTTCATTCTTTTTATAACGTAAATAGATTTTCTTTTTAAAAATTAAATGAAAGGTTAAATCAAAAATATCTATTGATATAATAGATTACTAAATGAATTTTGTTTGAAAATAGTTACATTATTAAACTTTCAAACTAATTTTTTATACATGCTATTTTTAGATTAATTGATTAAATAAATAATAAATCAATTAAGATAATTCTATTTCATTAAGAACTTGGATATTTATAAGTTTTAAAACGTAAATACATTATATAATTTCAGTTTTAATTGCAAATTAGATTTTTGTGACTTCTAGACCACTGTTTCTCAACCTTTTGACCCGCTCGATCAAATATTGTTTAGAGTTTTAGAGTAATGCGACTTATAGTTTATAAAATATAATTTGATGCTTTGAATCTAAATGACAAAATGTCTTTTTGTGACCCATTAAACATAGCTTCAGAAACTTTTCAAGACTAGATGTACATTATAAATTAATATTTAAAGCTATTTAATCTAATATAGAATTCACAATATAGTATTTCAATCATTTGTCCAGATATATAATTATTTTCCCGAAATAACTATTTACTAACCGTGACGTGAGACATAAATCGATATATACTATGTACATATTTAGCAAATTGTGCTGTATCAGATAGCATGATAACAAATTATAGTTAGTTCGCTTGTTAAGACATTTATGTATTAGTGTATATGCATAATTACAAAATGTTTTGTCTCGTTTGGACTGTTCATAGATTTGCTATTAGGTCAATTGTATTCCTTCGAAATGTTGAACTAATTTGAATATATGCAAAATTAATGCTTTTCCAGCGACAACGATATATCGACCCGAACGAATTTAACATAACAATGCTATTCTTACTGTAAAAGTTACGCGCAAACGTTTTATATTATCTATTCAGTGCACAGTGTACATTTTATCTTTCTATTACATTTATTCTAAAATGTAATTTTATATGAGGTGGAATGAAAACAAAGCCTTTGAGGGTTGGGTATCCGCCTGCTTGAGTACATGGCTTCGGAAATACACACCATGGATAAATCTATGTAATCCATACACTTAGACTGTTGTATCATTTATATACATCTGTTATTAATAGCTTTATATTATGCTTGAAGAAAACCATTTTAGTTTTGTTCAATTAATACTAAAAATTCTGCTATTATCTTTTAATCCTTGTATAACAATTTTATGAATCTTCGAATTTATATTAGGTAAAACAATTTTAACATAAATGTATGTAGCTACTATTTGTTTGCGTGTTGTATTTTTTACCGTGAAATAAAAACGCCAATAAAAATCATAATTATAAATATCTTTTCTGGTGAGTGGCATTCATAATTAATATATAATATTTTTATTATGAAATATGGAGAAATCTATAACAATTTGGATAGAATATTAAGAATACATTGATGGAAATCATATTAAACAGGATAAGATCCGTTCGTAACAACCGCGTTATAAGTGAGGTAACTGTAGAATTGAATGTAAGGATATTAACCTCATCCAAGGGTAAGTGCAAACTAAAATTTGCATTCAGTATAATACCAAAATAGATTTACTATGATTTATTCATTTCGCATCTGCTATTTAAATCATGTTTAAATTAATTGTAATGCGATGTTTTTGCGTACTATTATCTAATGCATATTATTAAATTTTGTATAGTTAAATATTTTAATAAGACATACCTTCTAGGGTTGTTGTTGTTGGTCTCATCCTGATTGTTATTATAATTGGATGTCGGTGTTGGAGTGTAACTAGGTGTCGTATCTACACTGGAGGGAATGCTAGAAACGCTGCTCGATAAACTTCTGGGTCTTCGAGATCTGGAGGAAGCAGAGCTGCTTCGAGCGCGACCCGTTGGATCTCTGGAGGTCCGATCTGTGGACCGAGACCTCGTTACTTGTCCAGAAGATATCCTTGATGGTGCGCTAATAGGTCTCGAAGAGCCTGAAGTAGTCACATTTAGGAAGTGAACGTCTTCCGGTTCGAGATTGTCCATCGCGGACGTTTGTGGTGCATCTTCTGTCGGAGGGTCGCTGCTGGAATTGGAGGGTATCGCGAATGGTTGAAGGCGTCGCATCGACCTGCGCAACCACGTGGGTCGTTTGGTGTCCTCAACTCCCGTTGCCATGCCTTCCTCGACCACAACAACTGCAGGTGGACTTTCGACGACAACTCTTTCAGCGTTTTCAACTTCGTTCAGCCAACTCCAGTCGATGGCTTCGTCGCCATCTGCCGCGGATGTCCGGTCGTTACTGCTGGGGTTGTCGACACATCCAGATGGGTGCAATACCGGTGCTCTTTCCTCACCACCGCTGAACTTAATTGCTCCAATTGTAGCTCTGCACGCATGGTTTCTAGTTAGACCAACGGCCCGTGACCCGCATGAAGACAATGGCCTTCTCGTATCACTTTCCGTCTTATTCAATTCGTTGCTTATGTAACCCAGATTGCAGTACGACAAAGGTGTCTTCTGCAATGCTCCGCGCCCAAGGTCGTTGCCTATCAAAGGCAGATGCGGGGTTGAAAAACTGTTGTTTCCCAAACTCAAACTCCTCCCATGTAAGTCGAACTCCATCAGCGAAGTGTTGCTTCCAAAGGAATCGTCGAAAGTCTTCAAATACTCGTCCAGATCATTCAAGCATTCCTCCACGCTCAAAGATTCATTTCTACCCTCCAATTCCTCCAAGCTTATTTGCCTGCTCAGTCTATACCCGTCGTTATTCTTCGTTACAAAATCGTCACTGAATCCACTATTATTATTAAATCTAGATTCACAATCACTATCATCTCCGCTCTCCTTCAAGCACTCGTTCAACACCTCGTCCAACTTCAAAAGCACATTCAAAGCCTCCACATTATCAGTACTATCACATCTTTGCAAACTTCCTTCCCCATTCCAGCAAATCAAATCAATCCCCTCGGCGCCTACATCTTCCGGGCTTGCCATCTTACCCTGCAAACAAGGAAACAAATTAAAGCATTTTGTTATTGAATCTTATGAATAATTAATACCCGACACATGTAATTCAACCTTGATGCAAGAGATATTAAATAGTTATAGAACGTGAATATGAAAGTAAAATACATTCATGAGCGTCGGTTTAAAATTTAACGGCACATGCGCATTGCTTTTGCTCCTCCAAATAGTTTAGCAAATTGCTTGCAATCGTGAATTATTGTTTTATTACTATTTTCATATCGGCACGTTTCGCATTGCTGCAATTCAAATTTCACAAGATTTGTTGTTTCCACTTGGATTCAAACGATTTCAATTAAATACTGCCACCTCGTGTATAGAATGCATGTATTAAATAGAATAATCATGATGTCATTTTTCTATAGAAACGACATTTCTTTGAAGTTATGTAAGTTGTAATATAATATTTGATAATAATTATTATCGAATGGTTAAATTAATACACTTTCATTCATATCTTAACTCAATACAAAATTCATTAAAAAAATATAAATAAAATATTAGAAACTATTATTAATTTAAAAAATCAGGCAACTTATTTCTATATATGTGCTAATAAAGATGTTTATTTATTTATTCTTTTAAATATTAATGGCAATATTTGCAGCGAAAGTGTTATTGCATTTGATGCGTGCAAAAATATTCGTTTCTAATTAACAAGTCCAACAACTCTTGTAGAGTAACCAGTTTAATTGTGAGCATTAAAAATACATCACTAATTACTAGAAAAGCACCTTCCATAATTGTAAAATAAAAAATAAACATTCTTGCGTTTCTACGATGCTTGGAAAAGTCGTGTTCCTTGCAATATTTTGTTTGGTTTTGCACCCGTGGGTGAGAGTACAGGAAAATGAAGAATGGAAACGGCATGAAAGCTTCGAGTTTTGCATGATGCACATCAGAACAATACTGGGAGAGGTCGTATTGTCTCTTATTGTTTCCGGATAAGGCTACAGTTTATGTGGGTCAAACTCACGTACGGACGCGTTTCTGAAATGGTCCGAAACGGGGGAAAGGTCTATCATACAGTTTCAATAAGTTTGTATCGTTCTATTATTTGATTTTACAAAATACATGACAAATCTGAACGAATATAATTTAAGAAATGAAGACTATTATTATAGATAATTAAAAAACAATTGCATAGTTAAATTTAAATGCTCTCTGCAATTGAATATAATTGAAGTAATTTTTTTTTATGAAAGTAGGTGGCCTTATTCTCAAACCTTGGTATACATTTTTTTCTCTTCGTTATTTATCGTATATTTTTTAAATCCGCAGCATTCAAAACCCTTTAAATTATGTCTATCTGCGACATTAATATATAGTGTAAATTATGTTGCATTTATTCAAGTAAATTCTATATAAAAAAAACTATAAATACATTATTTTTAATCTATATCTATAAAATTTATAAAATGCATAATTATAATGACGATGATAAATATAAAAAATGAATGAAGCGATAGAAGTTAATTTATAGTGTTATAGTATATTCTGTGAATATACTAATAATCAGTTAAATGAAATGACTTCGTTAAATACACTTTATAAGCATCACTGTTGTAATAAATTAACACGTTTTATCGAAGTACTAACATTGTATTTATTATGAGACCTAATTATATTCTACTTTTTGCAGCAAACAAGTCATCTTCAATATAACTCTACTTAATTGTGCATTAACGGATCTGTAATAAAGGTAAGTTGTTAACATCGCATTATTTCACTTAATGCGATCTACATTATGTTTTTAATATAAACATCTGATACATTTAATATAATTTATTTTATATTTTCACAAACAAAATACACAAAAATAACTACAGTTTAGAAATACAGTTTTTCTTAAAAGGTTTTACTTGTAATTGACTAGCAAATCTAATGTATTTGATGTTAGGACTTGTTATTCTACTAGAGTTTACTATTTTTCGTGGTAAAGTATACTCGTCCTGGTAATAGTTGTATAAATATTTTATTTTTATTTACTTTTACACATTACTCAACTAGCTTGAACATCTTAAAAGTCGTTAATAATTATTATTCATCTATAGATGCATGAATAATCGACCATCAAGAAGAATATTCAATATTTCTAGATTTTCACTAATTCTTATTTTCTTATTTTAATGAATGGATTAGGAAATTGAACTTTTGAATAAACCAAACGAAATCTAACATCTTGATTTTCTTTTGAATTAAGAATAGTATGCTGCTTAAAATAGCTTTCCGGTTTTTTTTTATATATTTTTCTTTTGTTATTTCTACAAAGATAATATATAATATATCCATTCAATATAGCCGTATAAGTTTTCCCATACATTTATATGTACTTCTATATATGTTAAAACCGGTTATTACCGGTACTGGAAACAACGGTCATGTGGTTTTGAAAAAAGTTGCGTTACTTTATATCAGTGAGAAACATTTAACTTGTTTCAAAAGGAATAATATAAATATGTATTTGAATATTATGTATTTATGATGCAACTCGGCGTGTTCCAAATGTAATTACTGGCATAGGGTAACAGTAAACATTGCTCTCCTTAGGTCTGGAATTAACATGAAACTTCGATTGGAAGCAGCGAACTGGAGTATGTTTACGATGTAAAATGTTCGCGGAGATACCGAAGAATGCCGCAAACCGAACGGATATAACTGGCCCATAACATACTTAAGTTTGATTTATATCCTACATGCATTGCATGCAGATTAAGCTAGTAGCTGAAGCGAATTATAGCTGCATCTAAGCCGACGTTGTATCCTTTTATATTTTTTTTGTACTTATACCACTTTTTCTGCATTGAAAGCTAATGTAAATCAGGCCACGGCATTACCGATATCATTAATAACAGTACACTCCATTGACAAATGTGAGCTACTCAATCCTCAAAGATATACTTAAAAAAGCATTACCGAACTTGGACCGATGTGAAGAATAAAGACTTATCATCTTATTTTGTGCAATAAAAAAGTAGGGTTTCAATTTTATCATCAAAAAAATCGAAAACCGTTTTCTAAATTATTAAAACAATATTTCAATTCCGACAAGAAAAAAAAACCTTTTTCCTTATCTAACAAATCTATTACAAAGATAATAAACAACACATAATCCCTGATCATTGCTGTTTCAACTAAGATAATTATTAGGTGTGTACAAGGAACTAAAATTATTAATAATTAAATCACCTTGAATAAATGCGCAATTGCATCCATTACCTAATAAGGCAAAGGTTTCAATACGTGCACTTTACTTGTTTTGTATGTTGTTGTTGTGTACGTACTGATTTCTGTGTGCACGATTCTGAAAGGCTGCAGATAAACAGAGACGATTGTCTAATACAAGCACGTTGCTGCGCTATTATTAAAAGCTATAGTTATGAATTATTGATACTACTGTTGCAGTTTCCGGAAGTGCGCACTGAGCTCTTTGTTTCCACTGACGCTTCCTGTTTCTCGGTTGCTTCTAATCCGACAACTCGAAACTTACAATTAGAATTCAGATGGAGGATATTATGCAACGTTAAAAATATTATTAATATCACATTTTTTTGCCTTTCTTCTATTTTAAGTTGAGCGTGAGTTGAAGGCTACTGTTAATGTTTATTTTTGTATTTTAATGAATGCGGATTACATTTAGAGTAGGATTTACGCATATTGCAACATACAGGAAGAAATATGAATATATTATATGTCGCATAACAAACATAAATAAAATGTAACTCTTTTTTTTATCTTCCGCTCACTATCAATGCAGGAAGCAGCCTTTTGTTGAAATGATTTCAATGAACATTTATATCAGAGTTATAGAATTTATTTTGTGAAATTATCCGACATCACTTGTATATCCTTTTGAGTTATGAGTTTAAGGAGTTCGTGACGCGAATTTGAAAGAGTCATTGGGGAAACCTTACAACATGACAAATCGATACTATGAATTATAAATTCTTAGGGGAACACTTATGAATTTGAGTTAATTGACATTATATATCATTTATTTTATGTTATATTTTAAATTAATTTATACTTACATGGAAATTATAAGATATATAATATGTTTTTCTTCAATTAAAAAAGATATTTTTGACTAGAACATTTTCATCAACTGACCTCGTTTAACAGTCATGAACCATAAAGTAGACAAATTTCTACATTAAAAAAACAAATATAAAAACAATATTTATATAACTATTATTCAATATAAACCTATACAGAGATGCTTTACATGTTTCGTAGCTTTTGTTTTGAAAAATCTGGCTTACTTCTTGACTCTCAATCGACATCATCGCTAAACTGTTTAATCTATCCTGAGTCATTGTCGATCTTAGATAGTTTTTTACAAGTTTTTATCTAGAATCTCCCTCGAGAAGCAACGCTTAGTAGAATTGTTAAATATATTCGAATGGCAATAAATAGGTTTGGAAATGCTGTAGTTCTGTTCTTTTCAGATAAAAATTGAATCATTTTAAAAGATCGTTGGAAATATTTTCAGCTTTTTATTTTGAAATTCCGTAGATATTTATAAATGTTCTGTGAGTGTTTTTGCCTGAACTAAAATTTGTTTAAATTCAGTGTTTCTGTATTTGGTCAACCAACTCACAAGTTTATTAAATGACAAAAGTGCTAATATGAATTACTTTAAAGTTCCTTGCTTACAAAATTAAAAAGTAAATCATACCAAAAAACCCAAGACACTAAAAATTTTATAATCCTTCTTAAGTTAAGTTTTCAATTGATTCTGCTTCACTTTTTTTGTGGATCTTTGGAGATATTTATTTTTGTAACATTGTATGTACTATTTTTAAATATATAAATCTTGATGTGCTACGGAGCCCCTTCATGAGCTCAGGTGCAATCGCTCAAATCAGCTCAAATCCGGCCCTGACTATATGAAAAAATATATAAACTAAGCAGTGCAAATGAAATTACTATACAACTAAAATATACTTAATATTTCATACTTTTATTTATATTCATAAAATGAGTTACTTATATATAATATATATTTCCGACTGTTTGTTTATAATTATGATAATCTTATTTGGTTGTATGAAAAGAAATGAAATGAAAAGAACGAGTAGTGTACACGTTAATTAAGTTGATTACTTTAGAATCTGCAAGTCACGTTATTCACGTTATTATGGAGTATTATATAATAATATATAAGCATTGGAGAAAGTAGCTTACAGATATTCCATTTGTTTTATATTGATTACAGTCACATTAAAACATATTTCTTAAGAATTCAATTAATATTCAATTATTATTAAGACTTTAAAATTTTCTTAATCAACATATAATACTATTAAAAAAGTGTTTAGATAATAAATTAATCAGAACGTAAAAAAATATAGAATAACATGAAAATGTTTCCATAATATACAAATATAATCTAAATTTTCTTAGTCAATTGTACACTTTTGTTAGTACATATATGTTGCAACTTATATAATAAATTTGTTATTATGTTTAGGATATTTTTTATGATTGTAAAGCGAAACTCAAGTATTGAGTGAATACAAAGATTTAATATAAAAAATAGATCATAAAAGCTCAAAGGCACGTTATAAAAAAAGGATACATAAGTATCTCCGAATAGAGACAATAGAAGAAAGTATGAAAAGAAACAGTAGCAGGTACTAAGAGAGGCTTGAATTCCACGCCTTTTTTTGTATCTATAAATCTACATTTGCTTTTAAAACTACTTCAAAAACCCAACGACTGAAACGTTTTGAACAACTCGATCCAATCTTTCAAAATTGATTAACACAACCTGTATACTTACAATGACACTAAAGATAATTTAATAAATACTTATCTAAAAATAAATTTAAAATTTTATTTAACAAAACAAAACACTCTCACTTGAATGTCGATTTTCTTTGCATTGTCATGTATATACTACAAATATAATTATTTGATTTAATCAAATCCATTATTATATATTTTTGTCATATTTTTTCATATTTATTTTTCAATTTAAATAATTTTTTTTTTTGCTGAAAAATGTTTATTTAAAATAATTATTAGTTACAGAAATACCTTGCGTTATGCAGATGATCGTTTCCGCTAATTTCCCGCACTGTTTTAATCCGGATTAGTCATACATACAAAAATAATCCGTACAAAAAGAAACTTGACTGTATAAAGCGAAAACACCGATTATTTATGTATAAAATATGAATAGTTCTATGTTTTTAGAATATAATATTTTTCTCTATTTAATTAATTTAGTTTGTTTTGAAATATTCAAGTCTTTCCGTATTGAACGATTCCACACTATGCGAGTTGTTGATGTATACATCATTTTATATTGAATGTAGTCTGTGTAAAATACTTATTTTCAATATATTTCATCAACAGTTTCATTGAAAAAAAAAAACAAATGTATATATGTTTTTAATTATACAGTGGAACCTCGCATAACGAGCATTTCGCTAAACGAGCAAAATAAATTGTAAGAAAAATGACGCATTATCTTATATTAGTTTATATGAGAAAAATTATTGGAACGGCTTATGCTCATTAATTTATATAAGGCATTTGTGTGTAAACAATAATAAAATGCATGATCAATTATTAACAAAGTGTTATATAACATACGGTGTTCATTACAGAAATTTCTTTATAAAGATTTTGACGTAAATGTAAATGTCGTATCGTAAAACGAGAATTTTATCATGAAAGCAGAATTTATTGCGTAAATATTTTACGTTCAGAATTCGCGCTCTTGCACGCATGAACAATCGATGATTCTATCGTCCACCTTACACATCCAACGCGATAAAAATCGAACCGAAGTCAGGTATTTATAAATAATTGATTATTAAATGGTTGTTTTCCATATATTTAATACTCGTAAAGTGAAAATACTTTATTTTGTAAATAATTAATTAGCCCATAGTCATTATATTAATGTGGCATTTCTACACAATGAAATAATGGAGATTTGTAAGTCTATTAGTTGTAACTATAAATAAGTATCTGTTGAAATATCTAAATAAAATCTAAGCAATCGACGTTTAATTACGAAGTACCAAATTTTTACGTGGTAAAAAATAAACTACGTAAAATCAAACAATTTCATAATATTTGTTGATTTAAATACTTTAAATTTACTAAATACTTGTATACAAATAATTTTATAGCTTAAAATCAAACTAAAATTGGGATATTGTAATGTCTGGGATATTGTTATTCTCTGGTTTTTTTTTCGGATTTTTCGTAGGTTTATTTCGTGTAACTATAATAATCATTTATTAACAAATTGAACAGTGACTGTACATTATATAAAACAAATATATTTTTTAATATCTCTAAAGAAATAATTCACTTTCTTTAGTTATTTATATTTTTTAAAACCAAATAAGCGTTGATAGAATCTACTAAGAACTGCTTTCATTCCACATGATTTTTTTCTTCTTATTTTGTAATTTAAACATATCTGAAACGGTCTATTTATATAAATGTACAGTGTTTGGCATGTGTCTGATGGTTCTTACACATTTAGTTAATTGCAGGCCTCCATCTCCGCATGGGGCCAAAAAAGATTTATAAATATTTAGAACACAAATTTAGTATGCATACGAAGACATAAATCATGCAATTCAAACACTCATGTTGTCGGTATTTTTTTTATTTATCTCTTTTTCATTCCAAGATAAATTTACATCTGGTTTAGATCATTAAGAAGCTAATACGATGAAGGATAACTTCACCGAAAATGGATACACGCGTTGGATTTCATCCGTGTTCATGCATCGCTGCAATTTTTCCCATAACAAAAAAAAACTAACAAACTTTTCAGATAATCCAATGATAGACAATGATAACCTTGTGTAAATATTGCACAGCAATTATCTGGTAATTGCACACGCATCAAGTCCACTGGGAATATTATATAAATGTAGCTTAGTATGTCACAGTAATACAATTAAATTTGAATTGAACACACGATTGATTGACAAATTGTCTTAACGTGCAATGCATTAAATGCATTTCGATCTAATTTAAAAGAAATAACATCTACATAATTAATCATAGCATTATAATTTCATATAATTATAATTGACTGAAATCAATTCAATTATTCTAAATAAGCATACACAATTTATTTGAATGGAGATACTTCAATGATTTACAAACTATAACATTATTAATGATTGCATTATAATTACATATTTATAATTGACTTTATTAATCTAAGAAATAAACAGAAGTGATTTGAATTGAGAGACTCGTTGTATTAAACATCATGATCTTAATATATGCGTGTTATGTCCATCATTTTACTGCTATAGTTTAAACTATAATTTACAATTACGAGTGACCACATGATTAATACTTTAATCGATTTCAATAATGTATTTTCATTCAAATTAAAATCTAATCATTATTTTACAAACATGATTTACTTATTAGATAAACAAATTTTATAATCTGAAATAAAGAATTAATTGACTGAAACACATTTTTTACTGTTTTGAAAATAATTTTTTTTATGTGTTATTATTAACTTACAGATATCTTGGGATAACACCATTTTATTAGTCTCAAAATGATGATGCATCTGACCTTGTGCGACCAAGAATAACCTGAACACGTATACATGACCAAAAAAACTTTAAGAATTTCCGTTATGAGTCGACTCTGCAATTGGCATAATTACCACTACCTGATAGGAAAACCAATTTCAACAGAAATAAGATCAGCATTAAGTTTGTCTTTGAAGTTAAAAATTGAACAGACACAATTATAATATGATTACATAGAGAAACTTTTCTACAGCAAGAAAACTTGATTCATATTTCTGTAGTAAGGAAGAAAGAAATATGAATAATAAATGTATAATATGAATTATTAGATTTAAATATATTAATGTAATTTAATTGTATAATCAAAATAAAATAAGTTATGAATTTTCAGTAAAACATGTAATATTTCTCTATTGTAGCAAATTTATTTCAAAACTTGTAAATATAAATTATTTTTAGGTGTTGGTGGATATCTATAATATATTTATAGAACTATAAGGAAAAAACATTTGCATATTTTCAATGATTGTTATTGTTGTAGATATGTTGCAATTTTTATTTCACCATAAACACTTGTAACTGTAAACAAAACTATGAGTCACATGTACAATTAAATTCGATATACTCGGTTTAATTTAAAATTTTCGTGCATTAAAATTTTCAACTTGTTTTCAGTTTTATATATCATAAAGCCTTATCACAATTCTTTTCTGAGTGTAAATATTGCAAGAATTACTTTTTTAATTAATGAGAATGTGGAAACGTCTACAAATGAAATTATTCATTTCTTTCATTAAGAAATAAACTTCACTTCATAAGAATTGAATAATTTCGTCATCTATAACAGGGGTAGATCGCGATTAATTGGAAAGGTCGATTACAAGAACAAACAAGTTGGCCACTCCTGTTCTATAAGAACTAAATTTACTTGAAGCATGAATTAAGAAATGTCAAATTGAAGTAAACCAACTAAAACCAATACATTTTTACTTTTACATAAAGCAGGATTCTTGTCCAATAATTAAACTTAACAACCAATAATCAATCAAGTGAGATATTTAAGTATACAATTAGATAGAAGATTAACCTTGAAGAAGTATGCAGACAAAAACCCGAAGAACTGGAAATACAATTTAAAATAATGTATTGGATTCTACATGAAAACCAACAATATATTTTAGGTTAAGGCTTAGGTTAAGCCGATAGGCTTATAAATTGCATCCTTTGCCAATCTGGATCAAATTTGACCAGATCCAAATATGCTTAATATAACAACTATAATAACGAAATTTATAAATAAATGGTGTCAAGTTTTAAAAATGATTGCATTCAGTATCCTTGATAGAAATAATACTAACCATAAAACAAACCAATAATAATGTTCATCTATTGTGAACTTTTATTGTTTCCATTCTACTGTAATAATTAAAACCTATTACTGTAACATTTTATATAGAAAAAATAGCAATTACTCAATAAATTGTGTATAGAAAGCTTCTTTCACTTAAAACAATAAAGTTTAGCAATCATCATCATCGGTATATTAATAGCCATTCTATTCTGCCTCACCACATCTTTTAAATATTTTATTTTATATCAATTTATAAAAAAACAATTTATGAAATAATAACTTTGTTAAAACTTTTCGAAAATACAATTTTTATTATCCAAAATGTGTATGTTTGGATGACTAAAATCATATACTTCCAGTAAAAAAAGGTAAACATGTAAATAAAGTCATTAAAGACGAATTCGTAATCGCTCAGAAATTACACATCGTTGCTTTTTTCAGTGAAACACGCTTCCTTGAATTTTAATTGATCGTTATATTTCAAGAATCTCCGTTCTCACGCCCAATATAGAACGGCTTTATTTTCATTGAGCGCTTACAAAAATATAGGTATATATTTTTTTACGATCGGATAAAACCATTACGAATTCAAACGGGATCGAAAACTTAGAAATTGAAATAGTCGTTTTTATTAAAGCTTAAAAATAAATGACCAATTACCCCACTTTATTTAAAAGTCTCCAAACACGAACTCGAAACCGACATTGAAACCTTCAATATTTGAAAGTATCAGTACGCATTGACGCCAATAAAAAAAAATCAAGTTATTGTTGGCTTCGAAATGACATCACCGTCTCAAGAGATTAGACTTGAAATCTCCTTATTGCACACAGCGGCATTGCGTAACATTTCATGTTCATTTCTATCCTAATGCAAGTTGACGACATTTACATTTATGAAAATGTTATTTTATGCTATATATACGATTCTATGAATTATTCGGAGGAAAAACATATTTTGCTTGATACCTTTTTTTATTGCAATATGTTTTTTGTATGAAAACATTTTTGGTATATAAATAAAGTATTGATTGTTTTTCAAGTTTCGATTTGTTCGCGGTTTTGTAATAATCTCTTAAATTAAGCGTTAAGAAATCATGAATTATTCATTGAAAATTCTGTAATCCGTACGACGTGCTTTCACAAGAAATTTCTGGATGTGTTTGTCTATATTACAAAGGCAAATCCAGTAAAACTTATTCTCAAATTTTAATCCATGGTTTATTTTAAATAGAACGTTAAGTTGTTCATAGAATTAAATATTATATGTTAAATAAATAAAAAATATTTAATAAGTAATAATCAGTAAACTTATAAAATGTAAAACTGAAAAAAATAAGTGAATCTAAACAGAATACAAATTTTAATTTACAGTATTATTTTCAGACATGGTTACTTATTAATTGTAAGTTAAATAGAATTTTAAGATTTTTAAGAATAATTAAGCTATGTGTTATATGTCTTCATTTTTAAGTGAATTTCTAGACAGGTTAATGGAAAGTCCGAAAAAATATATGTGTGTGTGATACTCGGAAGATAATATCAACATATTTTGAATGGAAAGTCCAACAAACTTAGTCAAAGATTGAAAATAATATTTAGTATTGATAATTTATGAATCATTTTCGAATACAAACTTTAAGAAACACTTTTATATTTATTCATCATTCTTTAGAATACAAAAAATGATTTCAACTAATTTTTTTAAATAATTATTGATCAATGATTAAATGTCAATTTCTTATTCGTAAATTATGTTGAATATGAAGTGAATAGTTGAAGTTTTTTCAGAAGGAAAAAATAATTTACGAGCTAATTGCAAGAATAAAAACAGTAATTTGAACTATCTATCAAACTCATGTGAATGAATGAATCCAGTGACACGTATTTCTTGCGAATATACTATTTGTATATACGTGTGTTACTTCACGTTGCGTAATTTAAATGAAACGTTGCTAATGCTGTGATGAAAGCGCTCACATATGTACACATAAGACACTGACTGGAGATAAATGGGCATCTTTGACCGTCCCCAGGAAATATATTAAGTCCGTAAAAACTTTCCTTAATGAAAACTAATTTGGTCTGATTAAAAATGTAGGTTATGAATAAACTGGATGAGTCAATAGGCACATTTAGACAGTTCACTATGACACAAATAACATGAAACCACTTGGGATCAGCGCAACCGTGACAAATTTAATTAGCTCAAGAAATCTAGTTAAATAAAATGCTTTTGCAGATAACAGTAATTACTATGATTGAGTAACACATTCCCATTGTTTATTTTCGAAATGCTCTCAATGAATCTTAAGACAGGTTTTTTTTCTCACGATAAAACTGGAACTTCGAATGCGGAAATTCTAATCTTGACCTCTCCAAGTTCCGGTCCAACTTTCACGCAAAATTTCTACTCCGCTTTGGAAATTATTCCGCGATTTTCTTTCACGTAGTAAACGCATACTCAATTCTCATTCGAATTTAATTATTGAACTCGTAGGACTCGCTCAAGGATTTTGCGTTATTGTAGTCTAATAATTATTAATTAACGAATTACAATTTTTAAAACAGAAAAAAATGCATTCACCTTGAGCTTATGGAAAACCAATCGTGGACTACTTTGTGTGTCCGGACGAAATTGCATTAATTAGTACGTTTGTGTTCGATTGTGTTAACATTTTTTTTTCTGTTTATTCGTTAAAGTGGTGTTTGCTAACAATACTCACTTTTCAACAGTCGAAGCATAAGTGTTTTCATTTTCAGGCATTCGATAAAAGGTTCGAGATTTGAGTAAAGTGGATGGAACATTGATATTTTCGTTACATCTGCTTTCGGTCATTTCTTTTTTACTTTGTAGTTGTTTACATTCTGGCCTGTCAAGAACATGCACATTCGCTCAAGTATTTCTCCAATTTGCAAACTAATTGCAACTTCCTCACGGTGTTTACAGTTGATGTGTGAATTCAATTACTGTGCATTTATTAGAGCTATTTATACCTTGTCAACAAATTTCCCGTTCAATAAAATAAGCAGTATGACTAACACTAATCAAACTGGATATATTTTTTAATTCATTTTATTTTTGAAAGAAATAAAATATATTATAAATTTACTAATTTTAAATTACAACACTCGTAATTTTTTTTTACTTTCTTGATACAAAAGAATTACATTAGATTAGTTGTAAATTTGATAAACAAATTTATTGGAAAACTAACGCATCAGAGATAATTAACACACCGACGTGAGGCAACGAATATAAACAAATTGAGAAAGAGTAACGACAAAACAAATATTTGCTGACTGCATATAAACATAATGTAATAGACGTGTGATATAATACTTTAGCAAACCTTTAGCAAAATCGATAAGAGCCAACAGTTTATGCAATAGCACTTTATATTACACATTTTCAAATAAAAATAAAAAATTAAAAACAGAATGCGGTTAAAGTAGACCATTGAACATTGAACAATTTTAAAATATATTTTTTTTACAAATTTGAAGGGTCCCCAAATTGACAATTATTTTTTTGAGAAATTTCTAAAGAAAATAAAATATTCTTTATGAAGAAAACTAAAATCACAGCTATTTTTTAGAAATGTATTATAACCTGTATATAACCTGTATTGCGTCTCTAAAAGAAAACTGGTCCATTTAGGGTGACTGCTTTGAAAAGACGTTGAAACTTCAGGAATGATGATATTAAGATTTTAAATATATACAATGTTTCTAAAAAAATATTATAAACTATTTTTTTGTTTATATACTTTAATTGCAAAAGTTAATGAAACAAAAGTTATTTATATTTATTAGAGTAGAAATTAGTTCTCACTTTACAAATTTAAAAAAAATAGCAAAAACATTTATTTGTAAATAGAATATCTCATGAGCAATATAACTTTTATATTTATTATTATTTTAATTTGAATCAATAATTATGTAATCTAAAATATTAATTAAGTCAGAAAAAGCTAGTTCATTGACACATCCGTATTCATTAATTATTTTTGTATATTGTATATTTTTATAAAAAAATGTTCTGTATATATTCACATTGTTTAAATAGTCATATGCAATTCTTATCTGTTTTGTCACTATTCGTACTGCGCTGAAATCCACTAAAAACAAAATTGTTATTGCATGAATTTTTCAGCCTCAATTCTATTTATAGTTCTATGAAAATATTTTGAAAGCTTTAACAATTTCCGCAAATCACCAATAACAAACGTCACCACAAAATATGTCAACAAAAATTAAACTGCGAACTAAAAATATTATTTAAAGTATTTTATTGTTTTACATGTTCAAAAAAAACGAGATATATTTATTTTTAATATTCAATTATTTATATTATCAAAATTTAGGGAAAAAACAATGTCAAATATGATCATTCAATTTATAGATTTATATTTAGTTAACTTTCAAATAACAATGACACAAAAACAAACGTCACCACATAATATGTTAACAAATTAACAACAAAATTTTGTTTTTGAAAAATCACTAACCAAAAATATATTTTGCAATGGCTAACGATCAACAAGTTGTTGGTAAATTGAATAAAATGAATAACGATAAATATGATCCAGGCAACATAACATTTCGTTTGATATAAAATGAGTCAATGAGTACGTTAAATAGTTTGTTTACGCTTAGTTTATCAATGCAGTGTGTATTGCAATTATAATTTCACCTAGTTTCATACAATGCTGTTGCGATAAAACGTGTCGCTGCTAAATTGCGATTATATATGTTGCGAAAATTATAATGATAGTATCTAATTATTTGTGTGTAACATTACTATTAACTGAATATTATTTTCATTGGATAAATAGCTAAAAAATAAAAGTAATTATTTACTTCCACGTGTTAAATAAAATATTAAAAGTTAATAAATCACAGTTAAATGAAAATAATAGTATTCAATACCGATGTAATAATTCAATTTTTATTTTTTTTTAACTGTAATTGCTTTCGTAATATTAGTTTTATTATTAGAGTGTAATTATTTGAATGTTTTTGTTAAATGAAGATTTGAATAAATAGGTAAAAATAAAAATCATCTATTACATTTTATTTCTTTCACATAATAAACAAAGATTTAATTTTAATACCATTTATTTTCAACATAATGTAATACATACAAAGTAAGTGTATAATAAAAGTTTTATTTTTATAAATTTTATTATTTCAACATAGATTGCATAAGGCTGGAAATTATTTGATTTTAGTTTATTGTCCAATGCTAGAAACTTAAGTTAAAGTATGTAAACAATGCAACTTATATTGTTATAAAAATAGTTATTACTGCTTTATGCAACATTTTGCAATAAATATTATTATTGCTATACATAAAAATTACAATTATTTATATTGCGTAAATAGGTGAGTGTCACATTAAAGCTAAAATCATATTTTTTTTATTAATGTTATTTATATGATAAGTGTTTATAGTTGTAAATGAGAAACTCCTGTTTTGATTATTTGTGGTACGTGTAAATTCAAATAATTGTATCTAATTGTAGACTGAAGCATAATGTTGGTAATTTGCGACTATTTGTGTTGCATAATTAGGTGAAAAAAAAGTAAATAATTATTTTGTCTGTGACATTTAAACTAAAATCATATTTTTATTGTATTTTTATAATGCGTGCGTATTGGTTTAAACTAAGAACGTTCACTGTAATAGTACGGTTATTTGTTTTTGATAATTAGGTGAAAATAAAAGTAAATAATTATTTGTGTATGTGACATTTGAACTAAAATCATATTGTTATTGTAGTTATTTGTATGATACGTGCTTATTGTTGTAAACGAGAAACGATAAAGAAATAAGTATAAATAATGTAAATAAGTATGCGAGTAGTTACCTGTCTTTCGTAAATAATATGTTTACTTTATTTTCCTATTTTTTTCTTCTTCAAGGCATGTTATATTTATTATGCAGGCTTCGATTGATCCAAGAAGTGTATCCTAGCAACACAATCCACGGAACAACAAACACCAAACAGTTTTATTCGAATATTGAATGTTAACCACTGGATTTCCGTATGAAACACTGGACACGAGAACTAATTAAAACTGATGAAACTGCGGGACACGAAGAGGAGGAGGACTAAGGCATGAGTGCCGGAGTGCTGGAGTGCGCGCGAGGAAAGATAAAATGCATGGCCGTGGTGTGCTGCTTTGCTTGCTTGTATGTTGTAAGAGAGTATGGTTGGTGTCTACGGTGCTGCGTTTAAACGGGTATGTAGAATACATGTGGAGTGAGTGAACTAGCTGCTAGCCTGGGTAGCTGGTTTGGTCAAGTATTGTTATTGAAAGTATGCTCAGGACTGGCTGGGGATATCGGTTTGTACCTGTGTGTGTAGGTATACGTACACGTATATATGTATATTCGTATTTAAGTGTGTAAGCGTTTGCGTGTATCTGTGTTGGTCGAGAGAACCGCCGCTTGCTTGCTTGTCCGCCCAAGACAGCGTCCATGAACCTCTCCCATATGCCCCTAGGTGATTTATTTATACTCACCATCGAGACCCATCGGGGAGGAGGCTGCAGCTAAGGGCATTCCACTTGTTGTAAAAACACACTCTAGCATCTCTCGGTTTAGCGCTGAAGGCCCAACGCAGACGTCTCGTGCCAGATTTACCTGCCAGCCCTATTCTAGGAACTACCATGAGCATCCCTCTCAAAATAAAAGCATCCAAAGTCGCAGCGAAATTAACCACTTCTAATACGTTCTTAATTGCCGCAATTACATTAGCTTACAAGTATTTAGCCTAAATGTAACGTCTAGACAGGTATATAGAATTTCTCCAAAGTTACCAGATGAAAACGGAGTTTTTTTTTTGCTTATGACAAATATTAAATTCTAGAATTTGCTCAAACATCTATGAAATTGAACAATGTTAGATTATTAACATAAACATAATCTAACCATTTCAATACATTAGTATATTATAATTGTTTATTTATATAATAAAATTAGCAGTTTTTTTATTTGTTAAGAATTATAATAAATATTGTTATAAATTTGAAACTATTTTTTTGTCATCAATAAATCTTAATAATAAAATAATTAATTGCAATAATTCGTTTTTATGTCATACTTATATCAGTATTCTTTTATGTAATTTTAAAGTTGTTCCAATAAATATAGTTGTTAATAGTATTTAATAGAGTAATTTAAAATTGCTTCATACAAATTTGTTTACTGAAAATTTACTTTATATGTAATGTAACTATTACAATAAATGTTATTATTAGACAAGCAAAGTACTGGTACAAAAAGACTTTGGTCAATAGCATTTTGTCCCCAATAAAATTAAAATAAACTATAATAAAATAATAATTAAAAAGTAATAATGTTTTCAAGGAAATAGCATTAGCCTAAATCCAATGTCTAGACGGGTGAAAAGAATACCTCCAAAGCTACCAGTTGAAAATGAAGAAACAATTTAGCGCAAGCCTCATTAATTTAGTTTTATTGGACGTTGCACAAACAATTATGAAACTGGTTCCGAGTGAATCCAATCATGATAATTAAAGGATCTATGTTTCTCCTTTTTTTTTCTTTCATTGTAATTAATTTTAACAATCTAGTGAATGATGAATAAAATTAATATTCTTTATTCTGTGAATTTTATATAATTCATATTGTTAAAATTAGACTTACGCATTACTCTTTTACTATTTTTACATAATATATTATTGTTATAAATATGTCAAGATATTTGTTCTTGATTTAATTTAAAAACAATACTTTCAAAGCAATATATTAACTAAAATTTATGCATCTATATAATTTAAAAAACATCTAGATAATTACTCGCAAATTCTTCATACATTAAGAATCATTAAAAAATCAACATACTTATAATTTGTCCATTTTTTTCAAAATAAAAAAGACAGTACAATTATGTAAATACATTCATTTCTGATTTCATACTTTGTACCTTATTATTCATACTGTTAAAATTAGAATCATTTATTCTATTTTTTTTAATAAAGTTATTTTTATGTACAGGAAAAATGTCAACAAATAAATTTACCTCGTGAATATGAAATCATATTATTTTTATTTAATAAAGAGTATGATTTTCTAAACACAAAAGAATTTATTTGAATCAAAATTAAATGTAAAGTAAACCATATAATTTGAATAATCTAGAAAGTTAAGAATATTAGATTAATTCTACGTTATTTATATGCGTAAAACTAGAAACGTACGGATTATTCTGTTACTATAATAATGTTATCTTTATAAACAGGATATCTCAAATGTGTCAACAAATACGTTTTTAAATTCTCTGAAAAATAATATTTTCGTATAAATATTGAGAACTAAATATTTATTTTATTCCAAATTTATAAGTAAGTGTGATTTGTTCAAAAGGTAATTGACTACTAAAATTATTACAAATAAATAAATCACTCTAACTACTAATTATTAATATTATATAAATAAGTATCTCATATTTATTTATATTAAATAGGAAACAAATATATGGACTATTCATGTTGGTATATAATTTGTATTCACTATAGTCCGGTTAGAAAATTTCAAAAACAAACCAAATAGCAAAATGAAACTAAATTTAAAAAATATGATCGGCTTTTTCCTTTATACAATTAGTCTCATTTTGTACGGTCTATTTTTATAGGTTTCAAATAGTCCAGGAGTCCATAGTTTTGGAGAAACCTTTTATCCACACTATAAGACATGTTGAGCATATATGCATGATTTTTAATAACGAGAAAGTATAAAACTAAAATGAACCGAAAATTTTATTGTATATATATAATATAAAACTTATAATGAAATTTAACTATAGGAGATGTAAAAACCGCTAAGAATGAAATAATTTAAATATAAATGTTTGAAAAACACAAGATGATATATTTTTTGTGATAATAATATACAACAAAACTTGTCAGTTAACAACGTTGAGGAAGTTATCGCAAACTTTATCCACGTAATATATTATACTATAGGTTCAAAAGCTTATAACTGCTGATTTTTGATACTTACTTTTAACAAGAGGTTATAATTTATAATTCCCAATGTAAAAAAAGTAATATGAATTTATTTAAAAAGAATAAAATAATATAAATAAAACTAATAATAATGAATTGGCGGAAAGACTTAGGTCGATAGCCCTTTGGTTGCATTACAACTAATAAATATTATTATTATTATTAATGCTATTGACTCGAAGAGTATATTTATCGCAATCACGTGGAAACAGAAGCAAACATTTCAGGTGGAACAATAAGGAAACAAACCAGACATAATAAATTAATAAAAGCAAGACAATGCAAAAATAACAAAATTAAACAAATAAAGTGATTGTAAAAAATACTCGTCTATATGAAAATATCTATGGAAATGTAAATAACATCATTATTTATTTAATTTTAAATATTTGCGTAGATAATTGAAAAATAACTATAACATTGAAATATCATCTTTCCCGTTTATAAAAGTTGTGTTAAATAAAAACTGTATATATTTTTTATTTCTTAATAAATTCCCGTTTTACCAATTACTAATTTTTCGAATTCGTCACTATAATGTTGATATATTAAAGTCCTATATTAATTCTTTAATAATACTAAATAAAATTTATTTTATAATAATATTTTTTTATTATTTTATTTAGGAATTTACAAAGGTTTCCTAAAAACTTCTGTTTTGATAAATATTACAAAAAGAAATGTTAAAAACTTGTTTTAAAACATCTAATTAATTTTAAACAGTTAGTTTCAATGAAAATACAAGTTTTAATATAAAGTTGCAAAAGTACATAACCAGTTTTTTAATTCCGCGAATATGATGATTTTGTTACCAATTTCTCTAAAACATTTTATTTGTACTTCTACTTTTTTAATAATAATGCAAGTTTTCACTTCATCTAAAATTAAAGACGACCTGCATCAAGATAACAAAATCAAGTTTTTACAGGATAGAATCTACTAAATTCTAGTCACATTAAATCCACTATGACTAGTTGTTTATTCGAAGATTTAGTGAATAATATACATATACTTATGGCTGTAAATTATTTAGGTTGGTACACCTATCAGAACAGCTGATTGTATTTTTTAACAATATTTATTTGTAATAATATATTTATTTTTCTCATTTTACATGTTTTTTCAAATAATAAATTGTAAATATAGCTTTTAATTATTATGATTACGAGTAATTTCTGCTTATTCACTTGTAATTCACTTTCTATTTGACCTATAGATCAAACTCACAACTTTTGTATATGATTTGGTTATCCAGCAACTGTATAAACTATTGTTGTTATTTCAGTTTGTCAATGTCATCTGATACCACAATTACCAACTACATGTCATTGATGATATGTAGTTGGTACCACAATTGAAGTAGTTGTCAAATAGAAAATACTTCGATTATTAAGCATAGTATGGATAAATCATTCGAATATTTTATTTTAGTGAGCAAACAATTGCAATTAAACAGAGATAGCATATAATAACATTATTATAAATAGTAAAATCATTTACTGAAAATATAATTAATTATATTTAGATTATAAAATATTTGATTAATAATTAGTTATTCTAACTGGATATATGTACACAATTTTTGTAACATTTAAATTAATTATAATACAGGTAATCATTATTATTAGTTATTAATAACTTTAAATAATGGTTCATATATCACAAATCGAAACTATAAAACCAAATATAGAACATGTTATCGTTTGCAATGATTAATATTTAGTTATCGTAATACAGTTGTAAGAATGTTATCTACACTTTTCAAACTAGTTTTTTAACAAATTCGCCTTTTATGTTACGTGTAATACGTGCAACACGGCACGTTAGAAATAAAAGATTCTCTGAAATCTTTCCACATGTGTTTTTTTCTTAATTTAACGGCGGTTTTCAAAAATCTTTCAAGCTGTATTTATAGATGCAATTTAATACAATATTACAAAATTTTACATTATATAATTTAAAATCATAAATACCTAAAGAGACAAATCTGTTTTATCTAATAAAAAAAATAGTATTTCGTTGTTAACTTCAATATAACTTCAATATAACCATTTTTCGGATATTTCAGTGTAGAATTGTCTGTAAAGAAAATACACAGCAAAAAGTAATAGCAAATAAATGAAAACTGAACTTTTGTATGCCTAAATATTAGGTTATAAAAATAAAAGTATATTAATATTATAACTCATAAAATATGTAAACAAATAGTTGTATTGATAGTTATTATCAATTTTTTGGTTAAATAATGCGAATGTTAGTTCATAAATTATAAGTGTGGGTTTTATATATTTTTTGTGAAAGTAACGATTTTTTAGTAGTGGGCGTAAATATAATCATAGACTTATACCTTGCACCTACCTGAAATTGAGAATCCGCACATGGTCGGACTCTTTGATTCATAGAAGCGAGAACACGAGTATACGAAAATAAACGTTAGACGAGAATAACAATTGCCGGGTTTCCTCTTCGGTTGATTTAGAATGAAGGAAATAAGGCGCGACACATCCTGTTCCGAGTTCAGATCCGAAAATAGGTATTTCGCTTTTGAAGGCATCTAATGGAAATCATTTACAGGATGTTGTTTCTTGTGAATTCTTACAGCTGCATGCGATGAATTCGAAAAGAAGTATAGAGAGAACAAAAAAAATGTGATTCACTATTGCGCAGAACGACGACAGTCTGTTACCATCCGCGTGCGTCAGGTCAAAGACCCATTTGCTTTTAACACTTTGCATGGGCTTGGTGACCACCTCTGAGGACGTAATCGAACAGAAAAATACATATTTTAGCAGGCGTGACCACTAAAACGCTTCATTATTTTTGTTACCGTAAACATAATCGTTGTATTCATGCTTTGTTGCTATCATATAGTTTAAAATGTAGCAGGTTTAAACCAATATTTACTTTTTTACTTGCAAATTTAGAGATAATGATTTTAGTTTTTCTAATTAGTGGTGTAATTTTACCAAAAAAATCCTTTACTTTTGAATGATAAGACCAAGTATTGGGGGGAACATTTTATGAGATTAGTTTTAGGGAAACAAATATATAAAGGACGCAGTAGCGTAGCAATGTGATAATCACGAGCCAAATGAGTAAACTGTATATGAAGTACTGAAACGTTATCCTGTAGATAAAAAGGACAATAGAAAATTTTCATAAAGTTATTATTGTAGTAATTAATATCAAAATTCAATACAGCAGATTAGACAACAAAATATCTAAAAACTTCACAGGAATCGCATTTTCGTACGTTTGTAACATTTCTTTATAATAGTAATGAAATATCTTCTGCTTAACTGCCACTCCTTTCTAAATTCATATTTAATTATGGCTTCCAAATGTAATTTTCAGAAAAAGGTTGTTTCCGTTTTTCGGGAACAGTCTGAAAAAAATAGAAAATAAGGATTTTCTACTTAACTGCCATTCCTTTCAAAATGGAAATATGCTTTCAAATTTAAATTTTCAGAAAATTATTTTATTTGCTAGAAAAATCTAAGAATTTCCCAGGCTTTGCATCGCTTGTTCCATTTCTTGATAATACTTAAAAAAATCCGTCTTCCATCAATTTGATGATACATTAATATATATTTATATTCACTCCGTCACTCATGTTGCGCTATGTATGACTATCTAGACATTTTCAGCAGGGCTCTTTGCTCCAAGAAGGTCGATCTCTAGTTTAAATGAATCTTTTGGGTATTTTTTTTTAGTGATGGAATTAGGACAAAAAAATAAGAACTGTCGTTGATATTCAATACTATTATAATTTCATTTTTTATGGCAACTTTTATGTAAAATATTTTTATTATAGTATAATATGGCATGGTTAACGCAAAAAAACATGAGGGCCATAGTATGCGCAAAATAGCAAAAAGATCTTCAACATTTGTTTATGTAAATGTGATTTTGTTTACAATTTTTGATCTTACCAAAAATTAAATCCTTTTATTTTGACTTTTTAATAAATTAAACCTATAGAATAAACAATTAAACGTGCCGGACTTATAGTTTTATTTTTTTTAACAGAAAGAACAAATGTGCTTTTGTCTGTAATTATTTATGTAATTTTACAGACATTAGAATTAATATTTTGTTTGACCAAATAGTGAATATATACACTAGACGACAACATCAACAATCTTTCGGAAGAAAAAAACACCTAACTAATACAAAATACTTACATTCTTCTGACGAAAGTTGATCCATAAATTGTTCTCATTACTGTGCAGGGCTACGCAAACGATTTCAGTAAGTGTGCCACATTCGATTTACTAAGGACATTTCAAGGTTGCTATCATCTGCAGAAAAATCCTGAGGTCAAACATTTTATTACACATCTTAAATCATTTTAAATCTCCTTAAACCCCAAGTTTTTTTTTGCTGGATTGAAATCGTCGTAAACAATTTTCTTTATTTACCAACAAATTATTGAGTTTGTATATATGTTTATATTATTTTACAAATAAAAGTACGTTTTTATTATTATACACAAAATTGTAGCAAAATTGACAAAATAAAACAATATTTTTTCCAATAATGATATTTTAAATTATTTTTTGCATAGAGTAACGTAATTTTATATTTAAAATACAAAAAAAGATACTAATAGAGAGAAATCATATTATTATCATAATGGAATCTGGTTTGTTAAAAATCTGGTTTAGTCAAAAACTGATTAAAAAAAATATTTTGAAAATAAATCTTAGCAAGTTTGAAATATTGTAATTGTTTTCATTATAAAATAAATAAATATATCATAGATTTTTATAAATTCTTCATCTAACTATTATTTATATAAGATTATTATATATATTTTATATAAATTAACAATTTTTTTATTTTTTTTTATTTTATTAACAAGTATATTATATCTTTTAAATTTATTTAATAAACCTTTTTTTGTATAAACTTTTATATGTGACTTATAATATAACAATTTTGGGAGAAAAGGCTCTTCCACTTAAAGTAATTTATTTATTTCAGAAAATTAATAATCTAAATTAAAATAGACCAAAGTTTCATTAAAACATTTAATTAATTGTATGTATGAATATTTATATTTTTTGGTGTATTTGAATCATCAAAACACGACGGAGTCTGACGAAATTGTTCAATGCATGAGTTAAGTATTTAGTTATAAACTTAACCCTACGTGCATCATGTGCGTAAGATGAGAAAAATGTTATTTATCTTACCTTGTATATATGAACAACATTTCAGATAAAAAGATATAAATATGGACAATAATATTGAAGTAATTCACAATTTTATTTATATGCAAAATTATATAACAAAAAATATGAACCAAAAACATGAGAAAAGATTACCAAAGGTTACCATAATTAGTATTTTCTCATGTTATTGATTAAAAGAAATCTTTGAACTCATTAATGTTTGTATAAAAAAATAATTTATATAAAAACTGAACATAGACACATTCATTTTAGAATAAACAAATGTAAACTCATATTTTACCGATAATTTTCTAAAATTATCTTGCTCTAAAGAAAAAAATGTTCTGTTCATTTTATTTTAGTTATTACTAATATATTTTTCAAATGAACTCAGTTTCTGAAAGAAATGTTTCATCGAATTCTCAAAAATAATCTTATTTTATTTTTTTTATTTCCAATCATGAGAAAATACCGCAGACCTTGCACCAAAATATGCCGACAGCCTTCCAACATACTTGGCGTTTATAATTTAACGTAATCAACAATAAAAAAAAATGGCAAAAGTATACGTGCGAATGATCATGTTGAAATTCATCTACCTTCATTAATAAAGCGTACGTGCTTAATAGTGCTTTGCAAAAGTACAATATCATTAAGGATATTGCAAATGTTGTTTCAAAATTAGCATTAATAATGAAATCAACTTATGATATAGATTTTTTTTATAAAAATTTAGTTTCAATTACTTATTAGATTTCAAAATTTCGTCAATTAAATTAAAGTAAATACTATATTATACAGTGGAACTTAACGAGCGCCTCTCATAACGAGCAAAATAAATTGTAACAAAATTGACTCGCTTAAAGAGCGGCGTTCCACATGATGTGTGACGAGAAGAAAATATGTACCGGAGTGTGCGCCTGCTATATCATTTACCAAACTTATGTTCAAATATATTATGTGTTTAATAACTTTTGCAAAAATGTCACCGAAGAAAAAAACGCAAGAAGACAGCTATAAAAGAATAAAAAAGTGTAACAATCTTATTAACTGTAAACAAATTTAACAAATAAAATTATATAAATTGGATTATCGCCTATGCTAATAACAAAAATGCAATAACAAAAACAATAACAACACGAACATGAATCCACACATCGCAATTAGCATAAAATACAAAGTATTTATTTAAAAAATACATTTTGCTGAATAGTGATATTTTTTCTAATAGAATATCTTGGTAATATTCGAATGAATAATTATTACACTTATTAAAGTATAAAAATATGAAATTTTCTTATACATTTTTACAAAATGTTATTATAATTTTAATATATAATAAATTTAAAATTCATTCTTCAACGTATTTAAAGGCTCAACCAGGATATGATACATTCAAGTCTTATTGCTGCATTCCTCTGTACTTCTCAATGTCATTCAACGATTTTACCAGAAGCTCTTCATTGAGACGATGTTTGCAAAGGAACTGTCCATTCAAAAACACCACTGGAATCTCATACCGGTACAGGCGGAGGTAACGTACGTTTTCTTTCTTAGAAATATCCACTGTCTCGAAATTGAATCGGTCCCAATAAGGTTGCAGCTGCATTTTCAACTCGTCGCAAAGAGGACACGGATCTCTCGTATACAATGTTAATTTCGGTTTTTCATCCTTACCAAGAGTCTCTTCTCTGAAATAATGAATTAAAAATAATTTTTATAATTACATATCATATATGTTCAATTGTAGTGATAATACAAAACAATGCTATAAGAATAAACATTTCAACGTAAGAAATTGTATAATTGCAAATACTGACACAGTGAACAATATTAAAAATTATAGAAAATTGATAAAGACAAGATTTTTCAAATTATGTAATGCAAGTTATAAACTTCAAAATCGAGTTATTAAATATTATTGTATTAAATTTTATAAGTACTTTTTATAAATAATACAGAAAATAAGCAATTATAATGTTATTTTAGAAAACGAATGAATCAAATGAATAAATTAATTAGAACTTTTTGTTGTTTATGTTTAATCAAATGTCTGTGTATAAAGCATTTTAAATCTTGTTATGCAAATATTAGTTTACTGTGTACTTTCGGTTGCATAAGTTATTTACTAAATATTTATATAAAATTTGAAAGTCACATTTTCAGATAGGAATTATATGATAATCATTGTTTATTTAAATCAGTAAAGTTGTTTTCATAAATACAAAACAAGATCTGGCGTGACTTATAATCAGGAGAAGGTCATGGATATCTTACATAATAAATTATGAGTTTCAAGCAAAATGACTTAGCCAGAAAATAGTTTGCAATGATTTCGCTATAGATAAAAACAGATTTATTTGTACATATTTAAAATAGATTGGGCATTAGACTTGACATTGACATATAGTGTAATATATAATATTATTAATATATAATATTAATCACGTAACAAATTGCAGGTGGATTAGAGCACTTACAATTTTTCAATCATGATGGACGAAGCTCCACCACCTCCGTTGCAGATCGAAGCTACACCCTTTTGACCGGGCTTAAGGGCATGCACCAAGTGAGCAACGATTCTAGCACCAGACATACCAATGGGGTGGCCCAAACTGACAGCACCACCATGAATATTTACTTTGCTTGGGTCGATGTCGAGGACTTTTTGGTTAGCCAAGACGACAACGCTGAAAGCTTCGTTGATTTCCCACATAGCAACATCATCTTTATTTACTCCAGCTTTCTGCAGGAGGGTTGGAATTCCCTTAGCTGGCGCAATTGGGAAATCAATTGGTTCGGTGGCGGAGTCTTGGAATCCGACGATGCGAGCCAAAGGTTTGGCATTCAACCTTTGGGCATGTTCTGGAGTAGTCATGATCAAAGCACATGCACCATCGTTCAACGTCGATGCGTTTCCGGCGGTAACGGTGCCGTTTTCCCTTTGGAATACGGTAGCCAGTTTTGAGAATTTGGAAAAATCGATCCTCTTATATTCTTCATCGGCTTCAAACATTTTGTCAGGTTGTCCCCTTTTCTGTGGTACTGGTACAGGCAACAATTCATCAGCAAATGCGTTGATTTTATAGGCTTCCTCGCTCTTCTTGTAACTGCTCATGGCGAAATCGTCTTGGTCTTGACGTGTAATTCCTAGTTTCTTAGCAGTGTTTTCGCCGCAGTTGCCCATGTGGAATTTGTTGTAGACATCAGTCAGACCATCGAAAACGATACCGTCGATTAACTTGACGCCACCATATGGAGTAGCACCGCGCTTCAAGTAATATGGTACGTTGGACATGGATTCCATACCACCAGCCAAACAAACATTTTGATGTCCAGCCTGGATGCTTTGAGCGGCGAACATTATACTCTTCATACCAGATGCGCATACTTTATTAATAGTGGTGCAAATTGTGGTTGTTGGTAAACCCGCAAAGAGCGTGGCCTGTCTAGCTGGGGCTTGACCTACGCCTCCTTGACATACGTTGCCCATGAATACCTCTTTGATTTCTTCTTTTGGGATTCCGGCCCTTTCGATGGCTCCTTTGATTGCGATGGAGCCCAATTGTGTGGCAGAAAGTGAAGAGATTGATCCCATGAAGGACCCCATTGGGGTACGGTTAGCAGCGATAATGACGACTTCATTTAGGGAGGGCTTAGAGCTATAGCTTCTTGAGCTAATATTGAAAATCTAAAAAAAAAAGAAAACCATATCATAAATTATTATATAATAAATTATTTCACTATAAAAAGCAAATATGTTAAATGTAAATATGATTGCATAACCAACTACCCAAATAAAAAAGTGTAAATCACAATTGTAATAGGATATTAAGAATAATTAACATATAATATTGAGTTCAAGCATATGTTTTCAATAATACGGATTCCTTTAACACAATAAATACATTGAGTTATTGACATTGAGGTCACTTGATCATTTATATACAGATTATACTAGAATTAACAGTTAGTAGGGTTTAATAAATTAATTATAATCCCGTAATCTGACATGAAAATAATAAATAATAGTTAGTAGTAGTAATAATAAAATTGTACAATTCAATATAATATAGTTAAAACTGAAAATATAGTAAGTTTAACAAAAAGACTTGTACCTTCGTGGTTACACGTTGCGATGCCATTTTTTGTTCTTTTTCTTTCAACTACTGGTATCGATCTGTTGCCACCAGATAAGCAAATCGTATACTGAATTCAAATTAACAAAGTAGTCGAACGAGAAGTTCTTGTGGACTTTGACCAACCAGCGCGCACAGATTATTGAATTAAACGCTCATAACCTAAAAACAGGTATAATTTAAAGTTTTCATTTAATATACAGACACAGATTCATTATGTAACATAAATATTCATATATTATTTTACGTTCCATAAAAATATGAATGCAGTATAATTTTGCATTAAAATCTTGTTTTTTTAATAGTAAAAAGATTTATTTTAATTTTTTATTGATATAAATCTCTTTGGCCCTTTTTCTACCACTTTTCGGGTTTATCAGCCCCCACAAATTTAGTTGATTTTTAAGGATCTAACCAACGACTTTTGGTATCGGATTTGGTATGTTGGTTGCCAATAATGGTTTAGTTGATTATATATTTGTAAAAATAAAAATTATATTTATTGTTTAACTTAACGAGCGACGTTTCGCATAACGTGTAACGATGAGAAGAGAAGTCCCGGATTGCGCGTCTGCTATATCATTTTTAATAATTGTATACACATATTATGTGTATTTTTGAATATATTAACCATCTTCGATCTTCTTTGTCATTTTTGTTTAAAGCGGACTATACTTTGCAAATATAATTTGTGTTTGCTGTAAATGCAAAACACAAATGTATTGTTTCCAACCATTATTACAATATATAAACACACTTTGTACGCTTTTATATATAAACAAATATTAAAAGTATAAAGAGACCTCCAACAAGTCCCCGAATTGATACAAGTAATAAAAACAAATATAAACCTAAATAATTCACCGTGTGTGAATTGGAAAACAGTTCCTAGTGGTCATTCTAGTTGCATCTTAGTGTTTCGAAACTTGTGTTCAGACACTCTATTTGTGATTTCTTTGTGCAAAATTTCATAACACTTGCATGTCTCCGAATAAAAAGGCAAAGTGGAAAACTGTTTCACTATACGAGTAAAAATCGGGAAATTTTGGAACGGATTAAACTCGTTAAGCGAGGTTGCACTGTACATGGATTTTCAATGGGAACTGCAGTTAATTCAACAAAGAGTCGCATTTGACCACCATGGTATATTGATGTCCACAATAATAAAGGTATTATTTAACGAAATTTTGATGAATTAAATGAAAATTGCTGATTTTTATAAGTATTAACAAAGTTAAATAAGATTTTATTGATATCTTGTTAAACATATGTACAATACAAGAAGTGTATATGTTAAATACTAATAGTTTACTAATAAACAGAGTTGAATAAAGATCCCTTATGCATTCTTATTACTCTTTCATGAACCCGTACTATTTTTAAAATTTGTACTCTAAATGTACTTCAATCTTCACTACCATCAGGTTTGATCATTTCAGAGCAAACTAATTATTAATTCAGCATGATAAAAATAAATTCTGAAAAATTAGTACACAAAATAAAGTTTTATACATAAATCATCGTTTTTTCCTTACATACAATCAAGTGTCTTTTTATACGGTTTTCGTCTCTGAAAGTTGCACACCAAAAAGTCGACATTTTACAAAAAATTAAGGAGGATTTATCTGGCTCCTGCATTAAATCACATTCTTCAAATATCTGAGCCAATTCGCTCATATTTTATAATTTGCAAAAATGCCTTAATTTTCCGAAAGCATTGTTTCTTAATAAATTGTCTGAACTTATGCCAAGCAGGCATATTTTCCCACAAAACAAGATGCAATCTGAAAATATTCTAACAACAGAATTTGAATATTTGAAAATATTTTTTTATAAAGCGAGTTTTATAGACGAATGGTAAAATTATTTTGTCGATCTCCAAAAAAATGAAGTTCTTCAACTGTACGTCAAAACAATCTCTTCGATTTCTATATCATCTTTTGATTATTGAATATAATACTTATGAAAAGATAAATAAAAGTTGAAATTTTGTTTAAATTTGGTATACTATAACTAGTGTTTGGTGAAAATAAGATTTTTTTTCCTAAAAAAATAAAGAAATAGATGCTAAATATTAATATAGGCAACCCATAAATCAGTTTATTTCTTTTAAAATTATTGGTTTATTGGAAGTAAGGTATTTTAATACATCATCATACATATAAGCACTAATAGCGTTTTTTTTCTAAATAAATATACCTACAGTGTTCTACTGTAGCTACTTGAAGTATTTTAATTACTTAAAAAATGCTATAACATTTGTTTGTAGTTTACATTATTTAGTTTAGAAAAACTGTAGTGTGTTTGTAGTGACGTTTGAAATGCCGACTGCATCGAAATTCCGACAACCATAATCCCGACTATATCAAAATCCCGACTGTATCAAAATACAGACTATATCAAAAAATATCTACAATAACATTTTTAAATTAATCCGTAGTGTAGTGACTTTTAAATTGTTATTAATAATAAATAATAACAATTAATAATCTAATTGTATTTGAGATTATTTTATAATGTCAACAAAATCAAATAAATTAATAATAATTTATTGATACAGTCGGGATTATAGTTATCGAGATTTTGATATAGTCGAGATTTCAAACATCGGGATTTCGATACATTCGGTATTTCGAACGTCGGGATTTCAATAGACGGTCTTTCCGTTGTCGGGCTTACGATATAGACCCATATTTATGAGTTATACTACAACAATCTTGTTTATAAGTTGGTCAAAGTGGTAAAATAAAAACAAATGAAATCATAACGTATTGAATTCAAAACTGTAATCATATTTAGAAGTAACAGATTGAAAATGAGCACTACGAACAATACTTCAGAAGCTTTAGATGTTTTCACTGACAAATTAATGTTAGAAATAGAAAAGCTAAGGTCGAAGATTATACAGGGTATGGAATACTTAGAGCCTAAAAATCTCTTGGAGATTGTACACACTGATTTAGAAGTACTTATGTATGGAGTGAAATACGAAATTAGCAAAATGAAACATAATGTTTTAGAGCCTACCGAAAATAAAGGAAATATGTAAGTTAAAATAAGTTGAACTTAAAATTAAATTTTATGAAAATTTAAAATAATTAATAATTATTTTTTTAGGGAATTAAATGAACTTGAAAAGGCAAGAGCGATTATTAAATTATTAAGTCTGACTAACAAACTGTCAGAACATGTTCAACGCAGTCTTGAACCATGATCATATGTTTATCTTCTTCTCATCATATGTTCAATATTTGTATTTTTGTATATATATTTTTTTGTTATTTTGGTACCCCTGATTAGATCTGTCAAAATTATGTGTTGAGCCAACAAAATATGGGTACATATTGTAGTACCAAAATATGATTAAATTAAATGTATCTTTAAAAGTACGTTGAAATCATGTGAGTATCAGTGTTTCTTATATTGTAACAACCGAAGACATCGTTGTTATCTACTCGATAAATAGTGACATAACCTATACTAATTATATTTTTGTAAACAAGTTGCAACAATGAATATCGAGGAGAACAGACTAAGTACATTTAACGATTGGCCGATGGAAGCAGTCGTCAATTCTGCCAGAATCGCAAAGGCAGGATTCTATTTTACAAAGCATGAAAATGTTGTGGAGTGCTTCTCTTGTCATTTGAAAATTGGAGAATGGTCATATGGTGATCAAGTTATGGCTAAACATCGAACCCTCAGCCCCACATGCCCCTTTGTGCTAGACCCCAATACCTCTGGAAACGTACCAAACATATCAACAAATCCGAGCCCTGTAACCACTGAAGACATGAGAGTTGAAGCAATTAGACTTAGGACCTTTGATAATTGGCCAGCCACTGATATAGTTTCACCTGATAGTTTAGCCAAAGCAGGATTTTATTATTTGCATACAGAGGATTTGACAAAATGTGCTTATTGTAATGGAGTTGTTGGGTCATGGGAAGCTGGTGATAATCCAGATCAGGAACATAAAACTCTCTTCCCAGAATGCACATTTGTGACTACAATATTAAATCCCCGATTGGAGCAGAGATTGGAAAATCCAAGTGCAGCATATTCCAATATTAATATTGTAGCAGAGGGCAATTTGGCTGACCTTGGTGTACATGCTCATAAGGGACCTAAGAAACCAAAATATGGAACGATTGAATCAAGGCTGAATACATTTACAAACTGGCCTCAGGATTTGATTCAAACCCCAGACATTCTTGCACAGGCTGGTTTCTATTATGAGGGTTCTGGGGATCAAGTGAGATGTTTTCATTGTGACGGAGGATTGAAGCATTGGGATCCACATGATGAACCTTGGACAGAGCATGCAAGATGGTTTCCAAGCTGCGGATTTGTTATGATGCTGAAAGGACAAGATTTTATACTAGCTTGTGCACCAGAACTAGATGGAAATACCAGACAGGTTAGTGAAGTTTTAATTAAAATATAAAAATAGCAATTCATAACATATCAAAATCAGAAATTCTTTAAGTAGACAACCTGTTTCACTTTAGTACATGAAAAGTTGACTAAGTTAAATTATCATTTTATTCCTTAGAATTTTCTATTTTTCTAATAAAAATAGAAAATGACCAAGAATAAAGAAATTTAATTAAAATATCACGGATTATTAACTAAATCATGAATATTGGAAAAAATAATTAATGGTAAATAGTTATCATTCACTCGTAATTCACACAATTGGAAAACATCTTACATAAGCATAAGGAAAATAGAGTACAACTAATTATGCTAATAAAGCAAGAAAACATATTTTCTTATAATGACTGAAAATTATATGTACATTGTGAGAGTAAATACTGAAAACATTCCTAACGATTATGCTACTAGGCAACCGGATTTACATAACTGTTTTTTACGTGCCTATATACGTGTTAATATAGAACTAACAAAAGTAAACTGTAAAGTAAGAGAATATGAAAGAAGATCATAACTAAATTAAAGCTTTTACATATTGTATCAATAAATGTACGTATAGCGTAGGTGGGATTAAACCATATGTTTCATCTTGATTGTCTCATACTTGTAACATGACCTTATCCAATATGCTTACATTTTAAAACAGATCACTTTGTTCGTAAATGCATTGAACTTTGAATCTTAGTACTTTGTTCAGAATTCTTAGACATGACTTCCATTAAACATATTGACTAATTGATGACTAAATTATTACTCGTACAGAGTTTTTTCAACAGAAAATCGAATGTTATAGCTCATAACGAATTGTTTGAAATACCTGAGTTTAAGTGACTTTGAAATTCTTAATTTTAGAGAATATTTAATTAATATATCATTTATTATTATTTTTATTTGAAAATTGACTTTATCATTATTGTTAAATATCTCTAACATTATTAGCAATAAATTTGATGAGTATATTAATATTATTTTTTTGTTATAAACAAAAATATTATATAATGTATGTACTTACTCATCAATTACCTAACGTCAACAAAGTTAAAAATTATTAAATCATAATCGATGTTGATGAACAGATATAAAAAATATATTTAATGTTATTTCATTAAATGTTTATACAAATATCTCAGTAGCATTTTATCTATATTTTCATATTAATATTTTTCATCCAAGAAAACGGTATAATACGGAACAAATGTTGAATAAAATCCGATTAACATGAATAATCGCAGTAATGGTAATTTAATTGATTTTTAAGCAGTCGAATCTCCCGACATCGGGAATGTTATCTTTTGAAGCTGCTTTGAATGAATAATAATTAAACAATTTTGAAATGCATTTGTGTGGCCGGACCGGTGCTTGTCTGTAACTTTATAAGCCGGTTAGCCTTGCCTTCGGAATACCCCGAAAGGTTTCTTCTTCGGCCGGGCCACCATCGAATTCGTATTTCTTAGAAAAAAAGCTGCATTCACCGTTTACACTGAAGAACCCGAAGGTGGTTTTTGGATTTTTACGACCAGAACGAAATTAAATAAAATATGAAATATATCCGATAATTTAATCGGATTGAAAAAAAAAAGTTTATACGAATATTCTCCATTCGTATTTGTCTGCATAAAGTTTTATAGCAATACAAAAAAAAACTAAAATATATGTATTAGAGGAATACTTTTGTTTTATCGTACCTCTTTGTTGTATATTTGTACGGGTTAAAAATAATGTTCCATTCATGAAACTTAATCTGCTGTATTGGCATGGATATACAAAGAGCGAGGAGCGTTATCTTTACACTGAAGTGTGTGTGGGCTTGTGAGCACATGGTACATGGAAGTGAATAAAATAACAGGAAATGCCCTTCGTCGTTCAGTAATCTTCCTTCCTCTCGTAATGTTTAAAGACCCATTGAAGAATATAAGAATAATAAACCATTGAGAAGTTTTTGTTTGGGTGCAGCCCCGGACGTGAGCTTCTAATGTGAAAGACAGTTTCGGTCGAATTGCTTTTAATCCTATTGTAAACAACAACCAGTATTCTGTGGTAAAATAGCGTAAATTAGGTTATTGCGCAGATTTCAATGAAACTCCTTGAATAATTGCAATATTAAAATAAACAACGAGGATAGAGTATGTTTGTATTGTACTAGCATTTTTTTGTTTTACTTTTATCTGTTCCAATAGTTATAACATGAATAATTTGGGTCAATGATAATGATGCACAGTATGACTGAGCATGAGTGTTTTGAAGTAAATCGCATTATTTTTCTCCTATTTGCAGGAATTGGATACGAGGTTGGCAGCGAAAGAGAAAAGGTCTATAGAACAGGAAGTGCAGAATCAGCTGCTGCTTCCACCTGCAATAGCAGCACTAAATATAGGTATACATGTTGGAAGGGTTAAGTTGGCCATTAGAGAAAAGATAGGTCGCACTGGTTCTGGTTTCACGAGCAGAGACGCTTTGATCGAGTCAGCGTTGAATTTGCAATGCTATGAGGAGGATTTGGATGGAGATGAGGAAATGTCCAGACGCGTGTCTGCAACGCTGAATCACGTTATCGAAAATAGCCTGGAGCAGAAAAAGGAAACCCGTCCACCAGACGAAGCAGCAAAGGAACCGAAAATTTCTTTAGAGGAAGAGAACAGGCTGCTGAAAGAAGCGCGTCTTTGTAAAATTTGCATGGATTGCGAAGTCGGCATTGTTTTTCTTCCATGCGCCCATTTAGCCACATGCATTAATTGCGCTCCTAATCTTGGTGATTGCCCAGTTTGCAGGTCAGCAATCAAAGCAACTGTAAGAACATTCTTGTCGTAGAGAGAAAAGAGAAACCTTCGAATATCAAACTAGAAACATAGAATTCTGATAAAGTTTATTACCAATGTATTTATTTATTTTTTTTTGACGTACCGTGTGTAAGCGTTGTGTTTTACATACACCTATCGTTACATCATTTAGTCTTTTTTTTTATTATTGCTTTGTTGTTTATATATTTATATTTTTAATTTTAAATGAAATTGAAATATATTTTTAAAGTAATCTCTTTTACTATCTCGATATTTTATATATTGTTTATCCTGGCTGAATTAAATAAAATTAAGTCTCATATGGATTAATTCTGAAGCTTTTGTAATGTATACATAATAAATATATTTAATATTGGTGCTATTGCTAAGATGGACGTTTTTAAATCATTGGAAAGTTTACTAATAAAAGGTAAGTCAAGTGTATTCACTAATTTGTAGTTCAGTTTCTTTAATATTTACGATAATACCCTAAATACAAATGGTATGGCACAATGGAGGACTGTGTGTTTTGGATATTGTTGAGTGAGTTTTTCACATCAGCCGGCGCACATTTGGAATCGGCAGATGTTAGAACAGCAGGTGTATGAAACTTCCAGGTGCTATAACATCTGATGACTACTTCTTTAACATTGCACACGTACAGACAGACTTGGTTCGAGTCCGTCTTTCTGTTCGGACTGCTGTTATACCATTTTTGGAGCACGCGCTACATTTCTCAAAGGCCCTTGCCTCGCTTCTTCCTTGGAACTCGGCTCGATCGGAATTCAACCAGTTTTCTTAACTGTTATAACTAACTTAAGGCGACCGCCGCGCTATAAAACTTTTCTAGAAATTTCAAACCACACTTCAACTATTCCGATCGAACACATTCCCATTAATTTAACGCTAATAATAATTATATTTTTATGCAACTAAAATTATAAATAATACATATCTTTATTTTATAATAAAATCTTTTAAAAATATAAATAAAAGCATCGTTCAGCAGAAATGATTAACATTTTGTTGTATAAATAGATATCAAGCTTTTTTTGTATTAACCGGGTTTTTCTATTATCCTTGCTTTAACGTTTCCGAATTACCACTGATAATAGGCATTTTACTGTAGGTAAAAACAAATATTTTCCTACTAAAAATAATATACAAAATATGATTAATTTCAAAGAAATAAATTAATCATGGTTCAGCAAATGGGAAAGTTAGCGGAAGATTCCATGCTTATTTAGAAATTGTTTACTGCTGCAATGGAAAGACGGCAACTCAAATAATATGATGTAATTGATTCGAACAAACACGCAATTTCTTCGGATAATTAAATATAACAATTTGAAAGAACAACCTTGCATTAACATTTAAATAAATACTGTTTACTCTTATAATAAAAAAAAACATAATATTGAACTTGTATGGCTTTTTGAGTTATTTTTTATTACATATAACATAAACCGATTTGTTAGGTCTAGACTACTCATAAAAATGAGTAATATTGTTCCCAATAAAGGACTGTTTCCATAGTCGATTCATTACCGTAAACTTGGTTACAATAGGCGTTCATTTAAAATCTGAGCATTAAAATCTATCGACGTTTGGTAAAAGTAATACCGGACATAATTGCAAATAATTGCATTAAAAAAATAATTCATTTTCATTTGATGTGTGTTGAATTATCATGATGTCTTAAATGTTACCTGGAATCGTTATTAGAAAGTCGAATAAGAAAACTTCAGAATATTTTAAATGTCATGTGCTGGCCAAGTATCCATGACTTCATATAAGTATAATAGGTGAAATCGACGAAATTGCGAGAACTATATAAGCATTATAAACTTTTTATTATGTAGCACATCAAAAATAAGCAAACATAAAAAACTAAATAAGCTTCATTTTAAAGGCTCCTTTCCAAATATACCCCAAATGTTTTAGTAAAGAAAACAGGAGGAAATAGTTTTATACTTTTAGAAGTACAGCAATTCCTCGCATAGTGCGGGTAATTGGTTCCACCATCAAAATTTAGTTTGTTTTGAAGTTTTCAAAACGGACTAGTGAATCCGAACTGATCGACTATTCTACTCCTGGAGGACGCGACCCCCACTTTAAGAATCACTGATGTAGAGCAGGGGTTTCCAAACTTTTTAGGTTTGCGGCGCCCTTAATATATCTATACTCTGTCTTAGGGCGAACTTTTATGTTAATAGTAGTTTTCTTCAATTTTCGCGGCACACCCTATATAGCAGCTGCGATTCTAACCGTAATAGTAAATAAAAATACCGTATGTTAACGTTATGTACGTTTTAGAAAATGTGCTTATATATAAAAAATACTGTGCGAGTAATTCTACCGCAATAAAAAAATTATATTCGTTTAAAGTCTACAATGATGTTATTTAATATTAAAAAAAATAAACCACGTATTATTCTATAGTAGCAAATGTTTCAAATGTAAATATTTATAGAAAGGTAACAAACCTACCAATATATATTTATTAAATTTTGAACATACGAAAGAGCGATAGTCAAGAAAATTGTACAAAACTAGTTACGTTTTTTTTTTGTAGTTTTAATATATATCGAATGTTATAATTACTTTTCACACCAAAAATGACAAAACTAATATAAAGATTTTACTGAAAACTTTTAAGCGTCCCTGGTAAAGTATACTCAAAGGATTTGTTAAAGGAAACAGTTGTTTATATTAAATAGCAATCGTATTTTTATGTATATCCTAGACATAACAAATCCTTTTAGGTTATATGCAATTAGATAAATACAATTGCAACGGATGTGCAATATACATATCGAATTAACTTATTTACTTTGAAAATAGCGGTGATTCATTAACGTCTACTTTTAATGAAAGATAAATTTGTATGGCGCCAAGTATATGTAGACGCATGAAGCGGCAAACAATTTTTATCTCTGATAGTACTCAGAATAGCTTACATCTCTGATCACCGTACCTATACGTGATTATATTTAACATTCCACGAATTCTTCACAGCATTAGAAGGTTTGTCGGCGTCTAAATACCTGCATAAAAAAAATAACCGAAGAGACCTTCCAGGAATCTGGCCCTAGATATCTCAAAACATCCCCCGGGGCTCAAGTATCGGTTAGAAGACCTACCCCAAAATAATTATCTACTATTCCCATCCTCAAATATTTGAATTTTTGACATTGGATGCATCTACAAATATAGATTTTTTTTTAAATCAAATACATATTTTACAGAAAAATATAATTCAACGATTTTTTTTATTGTTCGAGAACAACACATTTGCCAGGCATCTGTCGATTTCAGTACTCTAACATTCCATTGATAAATTTCTGAGAAATCCTCTCTTGACTACCTGCACATAAAATAGGCCTATTGCATTCCTTCTAATGCAGTCTCACAGTTCTTCGATTCGTTATTATATAATATATAACATTCGTTTCATTGCGGTTCTCACTAAACTGTTGTTTGTAGAAAAAATAGCATTTTGCCATGTTTTCGCAATAAAACCATAAACTATGCATTTTTAAATGTGACTGATGTAAAATTAAAGGCGTGCAATTGTTATTGTATGTAAATTATAGCATTTCATAAAACGTTTACTTCTATACCGATAATAGTAATAACAATATTGAGTATAATAATTGAAAATATAAGTACATACATAATATGCCTATTGCGACGGAAATAAAAACTTCTAGAATACAGTAAAATAAACAACTACGTAATACACATGCAATTGCTAAAATGTATTAGATTTCGTAGAATTGTGTGTTTGTTTATACATTATTATTTCATCTTATTTCATAACATCTTTAAGTCATTGAAGTTATGCGAAGCTAGTTTACTTTATCTCGTATTTACAATACCCTGGGTTTAGATAAAAAAAAATGTACTATATACAAAATATGTTTACCTAGAACGAAATTAAATAACAAAAATCCTAAATTTCATTAAATTTGTTAGACAGCTAAAAGCGAAGTAATTATAAATGTATGTAATTACGGAATACGAAAAATACTGATTGCGTAACTTATTAAATAAATTTAATGACACATTCATAAAATGTTAATCATAGCACTCTTTCACAAACGACCTTCAGTTCACTGTAGCAAAAAATTATTAACAAAAAAAAATAACGAAATACGTGTTTGTAAATGTATTCCGTATTGCAAAAAGTCATAATTTTTAAGTATCTTCATTTGGCTATTATTTTCTTTAAATCTATATTTAAAAATATATTCTAAATTTTATTTTCATCAAAATTCTTGTGCAGTGATATTTTTAATAAATTAATTTGTGCTAGATTTTATTATCTTATATTTTTCACTAATATTTATATTTTTGTTGAAATTATCAAATAATTGGATAGTGAAATATATAAATTATTTTATAATTACATAATGAGTAAAGACATATATACAATGACTAAGCCTTAATAATCTTTAAAAATATTTGCATTTAGTCATTATTTGACGTGTTTATCGATTATATACATAAATATTTTCAAACAATAATTTCTTGAGGTTGGAAACGGTTGTAGATAACATTGACATAAATAATGCATGCCTTTCCCTTAAACATTGTACATATTTAGTAAAGAAAAATGTACAATTACTTTTGTAATTCTGCACTTATTCAGTCTGTATAACATAAATTCACAACATTTTCCATCAATAATCTAAGAAATGTTACGCGAAAATTGGTCTAGTATTAAATAATAGTATTAGCAATAGTCTAAATATTTACCCATTTAATTAATTATGTGTTATTACCTTCCGTACAAAATAAACGAGGTTTTCCATGAAAGTTTAAGGATTTACGAAGAGTTCCGTTGTAGGAAAAGTTTGGGAAACAATTTATTTTTAAATATTTCGAAACATATATTTAAATTAATATTCAAGTTGACATGACATGAATGTGCTTATACCACAAAATAGAGCACATTTTGAATATTTTTTCTTTGGAAAATTCTCATCAATTATACTTGAGCACAAATTATACCATTCACGTTACATTTTAATTTAACGAAGTACTCTAAGTGGATAATTAATAAACCACTGCACTTAAAATATATTTTTATTCATTTATATGTCGTACATAAAGAGTAATATCCTGAAGATAAATTGTAGGTGGTTCTAATTTAAAAGATGTAAGTAGAAAGAAAAAA